CCTCGGAGACGGTCGACCGTCTTCCACTTCACGGTCGACCGTTTGATCATCTCTCAAAGAAACGTCATTCTGCCTCTCGGACGGTCGACCGTGGATATCAGAACGGTCCACCTGGTCGACCGTTTGGTCATCTCTCAGGAACCCGTCATTCTGCCTTTCGGACGGTCGGCCGTGGACATCAGAACGGTCCATCAGATCGACCGTCTGTAGCCGGTCTGCTCTGCTGCTTTCCTCCGGTCGACCGTCCCTCCTGGAATGGTCCATCTGTTCTTCCGTCCGCAGTTCTTCATCTTCATCATAAAAGATAACCTCATTTGTACTTCCTGTATCATGAGATGCACCTGTAGGAGTCAAGAAAGGAAAAATATCTTCACAGAACACAACATCCCGGGACACCTTAATTTCCCTAGTGTCCGGATAGTAAATACGCCAACCCTTCTTCCCTTGTGGATATCCGACAAATATCCCAAGATTGCTTCTTGGTGCGAATTTATCTCCATTCTTCTTCAAGTTATGTGCATAACATCTGCATCCAAAAACACGAATATGAGCCAAAGAGGGTGGCTTTTCATAGATCTTCTCGTATGGTGTGACCCCCCTAGCAAAGACGAGGGTGTGCGATTGATCAGATGTGCGGCAGTTTGTATACATTCTCCTCAGAACTCAATCGGAAGACCAGCCTGAAACCTCAAAGCTCTTCCCACATTCAAAATGTGTCGGTGCTTGCGTTCTACTCTCCCATTCTGTTGTGGAGTAGACACACAAGACGTCTCATGAATAATTCCTTGCTCCCGGAAATATTCGTTTAGATATTCAAATTCTGTACCATTATCACTGCGAACACACTTTATTTTCTTTCCAAATTGTCGTTCTACCATAGCACATAATTGTTTAAAAACAGTACCAACCTTACGTTTGGAATCAAGCAAATGTACCCAAACACCTCTTGAAAAATCATCCACAATAGTAAAAAACATTGTAGAACCATCAAAGCTTGGAGTCCTATACGGACCCCATAAATCACAGTGTATCATATCAAATTTATCAACAGATTGATAAAAACTTATAGGAAAACTCCCACGAGTCTGTTTAGCACGCAAACAAATGTCACAACAACTGTGACTACTCTTACTTGTTCCAACTTCAGGAACAAGAGACAAAACATGAGAGGAAGGATGTCCAAGTCGTTTGTGCCAAAGATCAAACTTACTCTCCTTTTTCGCACTGCACACCATCTTCTTTTCAGGCTCCTTAAAGTAATAAAGTCCTCCTTCCTGCTCACCCGTACCAATTTCTGTCTTCAAATTCAGATCCTGTAGTATACACTTATTGTTGGCAAAACGTGCCTCACAATTCGAATCCCTTGTCAATTGTGACACAGAGATTAAATGGCAACTCAAAGTGGGGACATATAAAACATCATGTAGAATTAATTTTTCTGTCAAATTAATCTTCCCCGATTGGACAGAAACAATTCTTTTCCCATTGGGCAAACCAATCTCACACGGTGATATTCCCACAACATCATACAATAACGAAATATCACCAGTCATATGATTTGATGCCCCAGTATCTATAATCCACCGCGGTGATACAGGAATACCTGAAAGCTTCAAACTAGAAACACACAATGATAGCGAGAAAAACATTTTCCTTGGTTGTTCATCGGCCATGGCGGTAGCAGAGTGGCGTACGGCGTTGGCGGAAGAATCAACAGCAGCATCAATCAAACAATCTGCCGACGGGACGGTCGACGTGCTCGACCGTTCTAGAGCAACGGTCGACCGTTCCGTTATCCGGCAACAGCAACAACTGACTAAATCTGAGCAACGATCGATGGACGCCATGCCGGGCGATCGTGAACAGTAGTCGTAGAAAAATTTCTAGGGTTTTGGCTCTGATACCATGAAAGAATTATTTTGGAGGAAATTTTCTGAATTACTCTCTTGTCTCTACAATTTACAATAAGGACATATATATAGGATCTCACAAGTTGAGACTCCTAATCAGTACAGGAAAAGGAAAAGGAAAGAATCTCTATACAAGGAAAACTACCAAAACAATATATACACAAATATCTCCCAATATTCTACCAAATATTCTCTTTCCTTTAACAAGTTATGTTGATAATTATTTTAAAACCTATCTAACTATGTGCTGTCTTAAAATAATCCATTGATCTTACAGAATCTATAAATTTTAAATTGGAGTAAAACATTAAAAAAGCTATAGTATGAGTAAAACATTAAAAATATACCAAAATATAAGTTCCACGTTTTTATTTCCAATATAAGAGCTAAAATGCATTACATTACCTTTCATCACCATGTACATTATCAAAAAATATAATGAAATACTCTTATATAGTGTCACATTACCATATTGCAAAATCTTATTTAAGAATTAAAATATGAAATTTTGATTTTAGTACTTTCTCTATACTTTGTTATTATTTAGAATGATTTCTTATAATCTGCTCCTTCCATCCGGAAATATTCTTCTCATTTTCCTTTTTGGTCCGTCCGGAAATATTCTTTACATTTCCTTTTTTAGTATACTTTTTAAGGCTAAATATCAATAATACCCTTCTATTTTATCACAAATATACTTTTTTAGTACTTTTTTAATAATAAAAGGAGATTTAAAAATTTATAGTATGTGCATTTTTGAAAATTTTGCATTTTTTTTACTATTCCTTAATAAGCGTGCCAAGTCAACACGGGAAGAACATTTACGGACGGAGGGGGTATCAAATAAATTTAAAATCTCGATTGAAGACAAGTCCTTAATTGTTGATCAAAGTTTGTCTTATTTAATTAAAAAAAAAAGTAAAACAGAACAATTTTTTTAAATTTTTTCTTGTTGCTTCTTTAATGAAATTCCAACTCCTAAAGACCGGGCAATTAATCATTTGCATGATTGCATCTAAATTATTTTCTTTCTTTAGACTGTATACATTTTTACCAATATCTTAATTTTGCAAAATTCTTTAATGAATACGGTATTATAATCCTACTTTTATCTACATTATTCATTTTATTTTATCACATCAAAGATTTAAAAAAAAGTCTTACAATTTTTTTAATCTTCATGCCATGTCAACTTACAACAGAAAAAAATTATTAGACACAGAAGAGTAAAAACTCTAAAAAGTAAAAATAGAGGGGAACAAATGATGGACAAAAATTACAAATGTGTAGGGCCCCCCATCCCTCCGCCTGTCCCTTTCCCGATTTTCTATGGGAATCTAATGCACCTAAGAGTTGACCAAGTGTTAGTACTCCTCGTCGTCTTATCCGGCAGATCGAACGGCCGCGATTAGATGGAGCCCCGCGGATGAAGATCGGACGGCCGAGATGAGTTAGGGGCATGGGGCAGCGATCGAATGGTTGTGATCCCCTTCGTAGGTCACAATCAACAGCGTAGGATCATCCTTTGCCCTCTCCACATGCTTCCTTGCTGGGCATCCCCTTATGCTACTGCACTTGTAATATCCCCTGTTTTTTTTCATCAAAAAAAAAAAAAAAAATTTTTACTCTTATTAGAAATTTATTTACCATAATTTTTACTCCGTAATTTTTACTCTCTAGAATTTCATAATTTTTCACGTAGTTTTATAAAAAAATGTTAAAAGTAAAAAAATCGAAAGCGAGTAGTTGAGATAAAATTTTGCAAATTGCCACATAAAACTTTACCTGGGAAATGGAGAGCCTTTAATTGGCTTTTGACCATATTTTCTCCACGAGTAGTTGTCCGGCGGAACGTCGGCAATCTTCGGACTAATCGCCGGAACCCTAACCACTCTCTTCACCCTTGATTTCCTGCTCGGAATAAAAGATTCAGATCAAAATCAATAAGTCAAATTGTCATAATGGAGTATGAATTTGGGCGTTGACTTTTATTAATTACCTTTTCTTGGAGCAATGGCAATGACCCGAACCCGACCCGGCAGCGCTGCTGCATTTGTCGCCGGTGAAGCTGCACTTGCGCTTCAACGACGACGTTGAAAGCGGCGGCTTTCCCGCTGATGAAACTTGAGAGGGATTTGTAATCGTGCCGCCATCTCTATCCCCTGTGAGAGACGAGATTAAGGAACCGGACGGCGCCGGAATGTCCGCGAATTTGAGTTCGGGGGCATTCTTCAACGGGATGTCGCGGCGGTGGTTGTGTGGAACCGGCGGCGGAGGTTGAACCGGCCACGAGGGATAGATTTTCGAGCTGACCGCCTGACCCGTTCCGGATTCTTGAAGGACCCTGATTCGGCCCGCTTCGCGTGGATCTGTATCTCTCTCCTTCTGAGAAAACGGGGCCGCAACCGGTCCTCTCCGGAAACGGGCATGCCCGGTTCGGGACCGGTCCAACAAGGAAATAAACTTCTTGAACCCCGACACGGCGGCGTCCGCATCCGCCTGGTAATCTCCGGCGAACGTAGGGAAACTACTGGTTCCTGGCGGAGAGAGCAATCTGAGAAGCTTCTCAACGCTCTGAAGTCCGGCGGCGGCCGCCTCTTGCACGGCGCATTCCACTGCGACGGGGGCGAAACCGTCGCCTCTGCGGGTAGCAGTCAACAACTCCATAGCCATCTTCTTGCCCAGAAACCCCAGCAGAGGAGAAGAGAAAGAGAGAAAGAATTGAGTAGTCCAATGGGCTTTCTTTGAGGGAGTGTTAATTTATCTTTCTTCTCCTTTTTATTTTTAAAGTTTTTTTGGGCAGCCGTGTCTTCTGACTTTATTAACGTCAAACTGTAGAACCAATATAAACACTCCACGTACCGCGTCCACTCATCAGATGCAAAATAAAAGTAAACGACAATTGACCCAAAAAATGGATGACCTTCATCCAAAATTCCATGGTGATAAGATTAATTGAGCTATAATCACAATTAAAAAAAATTGTGATACAATTAGCATTCCCATTTTGCCAAAAAAATTTTAAGACTCCATTTCGTACACAAATTAAAATTCAAATTATAAAATTGAGGACAACAATTCTAATTATGTTGTTTGATTGAATAAAAATATGTGGATTTAAAATTCGTAGTATTAGTACCAAAAATGAATAAGTATTAAAAATTTAATTCTATCCAAATCAATTGCATACAATTTCAACTTTGAATCTGTCAATTCTGTGTACTAAACTGATCTTAAAATTTATCAAGATTGAAGCTTGCCCAATGCACATCTCACCCCTATAGGCCCTTGTCATCTAACATCCACTATGACTTTTATATAGAGTAATGTAAACCACTCAATAAAAGAGATAAAAAAATTGAAAAAATAATGTGATAAAACTAACGAATGGGCTAAGCTTACTTAAATACCTATACCACGAGTATTAGATTTTGTAAAATTGGGCACCTTATTTTTAAAGATCTTTTTCAATGGGTAGCCCAAAGTTTTAACAGCACGTAGGCCCAAGAATACATTAATCTTACTTCTATGGACTATGGAGTATGTAGTACTCGGTATGATTTTGATTCACATAATGTTTTCGAAGGGCTTCCTTTGATATTCAAAGCACAAGTGGGAGCTTACGTGTTGAGGTCAAGAATTTTTTCTAAGGGGTTAGAAATGATAAACGAAGTCGATGGTATATTAGATTGTCTAATTATTCATTTATTAATAGTAGATTGTCTAAGCAACTAAAGACACGAAGATGAGAGTAGTCGGGTGGATGAGTATACAAAAGTTCAGACAGAGATTTATTATGGAGAGAAATTTTGAGCCTACGATAAATGAGGTAATTAGCAGTGGCAAGAGCTTCAACCCAAAAGGTAGCAGGAAGGGACGAAGTTCAGAGCAGGATTACAAGTGTCTCAAAATAGTGTCTCTATTTACGCTTAGCAACCCCATTATGTTTGGGGGGATATGGACAAGATTTTTGATGAAATACACCTAGTTGTTGTAGAAAGAGACCAAATTTATGGTTTACATATTCACGCCCATTGGCTGTTCGAAAATTGAATGTCCTATCCAAATTGAGTTTAAACCATGGATTGAAAACTCTGAAATGTACCAAAAGCCTCGAACTTGTGTTCGAAAGGGTAAATCCAACAGTACTTTGTAAAATCATCCACAAAATTAATATAAAAATGATAGCCAAACAGACGTAGGTCCCCAAACATAAAAAAGAATACACCCGAACCAATTATAAACATCGCCTTAAAAGACTTTTGATTTCCTACTAATTTAGACTTCCACGTAAATATCATATGTTTCTCATATTATTTACTTTGTATATTTTTCATACTTCGTATTATTGTTGAATGTTACTCTCTGTCTCAAAATTAACTTTGCAGTTTGACTTTCGTTATCAAAGTTTTATTATGGAAAAAAGTTTATGTTTATAATGTATATTTATGTATAAAAAGAAATACTGATAGTGAAAGTATTGCACTATTGCATTAGAAATTATAAAAATGAAATGAGAAGTTAATTTGAAGGAGTGTGAATTTGGTATGTATCTTACATACTTATATATGGGTTGCATGAAAGTTGTAGAGATATGAATCCAAGAAGGGATATGTTAGGGGTACACCAAAAGTTTGTTCCAAATGTACACCACCCCCTCTTTACCATTCATTTTATTTTGTTTTTAGTTTTTACTTTTTTTTTAAATTTTTCTTACTTTTTTTGTGTGATAATGGAGGGGGTAGGATGTTTGAGGTTACACTTTTGGTGTAACCTTAGTATTTTCCATCCAAGAAAGAGGGAAGATGAAAGTTGCTTTGGCCACTTGCGCATCTCCAAGTTCCAATGCTTAGAAGGCTGAGCCATACACGCACCCACCCCATTCCATCATGTCTCTTACTCTCTCCTACTCCGGTCCAATTATGAACTAGTAAAATTTACGCTAAATAATACTCCGTATTAAAACAATAGTTACTACGTATTTTTTAACGTAATATTTAAACTTTTTTTCTCCCTAATTAGTATTTGAATAATATTTAGAGGCGGGAGCAAAGTCCAGTAATGATGGACATTTAATTTAAACAATGCCAGTGGCGATGAACATTTATTTGAACAATGATCCGTGGACAATGACCAACACTATTACATTTAGAATTAAAAACATATGGTATTACTACTTTAAAAAATCATTATGTTTTAATACTATAAATTCTTCCCTCGTATCACAACCACATAATCAATCAATCAAACTAGGGAGCAGTTTAATAGCCAATCAAAATTATTGGAGCATGGCTTTCTATACTCTCTCCTGCAGAAACCCAATTCTCGTGGAACCCATATAACCCGTCCATATCTCCTCCCATCCCAAATCACAATTGCTCTCCCCTCTCAAATCTCAATTCAAGCTATCTACCCCAATTTTGTTGGGATGTTTTGGCTTTTTGTAAGCATTAAAATGATCCCCCTTCAACATACTCCCTAATTATCTAATGTTGTCCTCTAAGGATTTTGACCGTTAACTAATAAATATAGATTCTCTTAAGTTAAACGAATAATTTTATGTATTATACATAAAAAATGGTGAATGCACATATGTGAATTTGATATGGAAAATTAATTTGTGGACAAAAGAGTATGGTTAGAGACATTGAAATGTGCCATGGCTTTCCAATCATTCTTCTATTATTATTACTCTGTATTAACAATTATCATTTTTATTATTTATTTGTTATTATTATTTATCATATATTATTATTATTATTATTATTACTATTATGATTTTTCATATGTGACATGTTTAGACTACTCGCAATGCTTGAAGCGGACCTTCCCACATGCAGGCCTAGTCAGCATGCCACATCAGTTTTTCACCCAACATTATCACATTCACCGTTCTTGCATATATGCAACCTCAATAATTTCATATCACCATTGTTTCTTTATTTTTATAACATAAATACATTCTTTTTATAAAAAAATTAAATAAATAATAAAAATTACTCCGTATAAGTGAACAATTAAATAAAAAACAAACGTGTTAAAATTTTTTAAAAATAACAACCAAACTTAATATTGCACCAAAATAAATAAAAAGCTTATAGATCGGATTTGTCAATTTTATGAACGATTTTAATTAGTTAATTAAAACTTAAATGATAATTTTTAGAGGAATAACATAGGTTTGAAACACGATATCACTACGCATTAAATATATGAAGCACACTCTTATATTTTTATTCACTCCGATCCATCAACTTGGGTGTTAATAATTAAAAACTGTATGCATTGTTTTAAACGATCATCAACTAATATGTTGCATAGAAATTAATGTTTGGTATTCTATTTAGGGTCCAGAATGGGCCACAATTTAGAACCATATCCTTTAAAAAGAGTGCACTATATGCCATTCAACATATTAATCATATCAAGGGTGCTCTGTCGAGATGATAATGTTGTATAGAATTAATCAGGTTTGAATACTGATATCATAAGAAGAAATGATCACTTTAAATATAGTTTTCTTCAACTTATTAAAGACAAATCTTACTCTCATTCGAATTAATATATATTCTCATTCAAATTACGGACTAATATTATAACTTAATTAAAAATACTCTCTAACTCGTGGTAGGGATTCCTATTTTTTTTAATAATTATAGATATTTTTGGAGTAGTGGATTTAGATCATATACAATGAGGACTAAATCCGCCCCACCTCAACTCGTGCCACATTATGATTTCACTAACTTTCCGTTGCGCCCCAAAATTATGCAATGATATCGCCCCAAAGGTGCCACATTTTGACTAAAAAATCAAACTGTGGCAATCTTTTAGAGACGGAATGAGTATTAATCATATCAAGAATGGTCTGCACCTGTAATTCAACTGGTTGAGATGATAATGTTGTATAAGATTAACCAGGTTTGAATACTGATATGAGCACAGAAAATGATCACTTCAAACATTATATTCTTTAACTTATTAAAAACAAATCTTACTCTCACTCAAACCAATTAATATTATAACTCAATTTAACATACTATGTGACCCGAGGTAGAGTTTTTTATGATCATAGATATTTTAGGGGTAGTGAATTTATGGCATGGGTAATGTGTTCAATGCAATTTTCTTGGAGTAGCAAATTAAAACTAGCAAAACGTACTCTGCGAGGAAGAATCGCAAGTCAACATTCTTCGAGAGTGTGAAGTGCATGTTAAAATAAAGAGGATGCTATTCTCACCCCACCCACTTTGTATTCTATTTTTGTACCCAAAGGTTTAGCCTGACATAAAATATAAGTGTATTAGTTAAAAGAATAATAAAAAATATGTGGTACATAATTACTTGTAGAATTCACAGGGTATTTATAACGTAAAAGGAGGGAGACATGGCGTTGTTCACCAATGTTCACCCATGTGAGGAAGTGACTCATGTTTGTCTTGTATTGTTTTGTCCTCTCCCTTGATTGATGTCTTACTATGCTTTGCCTTGTAGCGTTTGGACACGCTAGTCGGTGCGAAGGACCCGGTCCTCTACAAACGCTACTTTCCAAAATACGCCGACCTGAAGATTTGGGCGATCCCTGATAGTCTATTCGGGTGATCTTTCTCGATAAATCGCCCGAGTGGTTTATGAGTTTTACACTTGCCTGTATCTGCTTGCTGATTAGTGAAGTAAGCGTGTTTTACCCGGATGACTAGACTCACTCGGTCGGATTCTTAATTGCTTGTTCCGGCAGACCCCTGGAAAGGTTACGATTAACCTGGATAAACTTTGCAGTGGGGCTGACATGTGTTCATGGTGAGAATACAACCATCAATTATTATTTTCTTTCGATAATTTTCGTTTGTTCACACGTTTTTCACTTAGTATTTGATAAAGTAAAATATTTTTGTGACATTTTGTTCAAAAAGACTTCAGATATAATTTGGAATAATGTAATTTATACGGAATATTTTTTATTTCTATAACGATTTTCAATTTTAAAAACAATAAATTTATTTCATGATTCCTAGTGTGATTTATTTTTTTGGTTGGGAGGAAGTATGGGAAGTGCCAATTATATGAAACCAACCAAATAGGAGTAGGAAGCATGTGACCTTCCCAGTTCCAATCTTCAATTTCTTACGGAGTTTAATATTTTTTTAAACTTTATTTAGTCCCACTTGTAAATGACCAGGTGCATTGACCATAACACCCTCAAATTTTCCCTTTAAAGTACGCTTCTCCTATACCCTCATCTCCAGGTCTCCTCCCCCCCAAAAATTTCTTCCCCTCTTTCAACAATCCTTCTCCGATCAGTCTCCTTCCCAACAATGAAGATGTCTAGAACTCTGGTTCTCCTTCTCTTGGTGGCCGTCGCCGTTTGCTCTGCGGCGGCGGACATGTCGATCATAACTTACGACGAGAATCATCCGGCGAAGGGGTTGATCCGATCGGAGGAGGAGATCGTCGAGCTCTTCGAGTCGTGGCTGGTGAAACACGGCAAGGCGTACAACGCTCTCGGTGAAAAAGGCCGGAGGCTCGAGATCTTCAAGGACAATCTCAAGTACATCGACGAGCAGAACAGTGCCGAGAATCGGACCTACAAACTCGGGCTGAACCGGTTCGCGGACATCACGAACGGCGAGTACCGGACCGGGTACCTCGGTACCAAAAGGGATGCTCGCCGGAAGATCCTGAGGGGGCAGAGCAACCGCTATGCTCCGGTGGAAGGCGAGACCTTGCCGGACTCCGTCGACTGGAGGCAGAAGGGTGCGGTGGTAGATGTCAAAGATCAAGGCGGATGCGGTAGGTCACACGCTCCTTTCCACTTTGTCTCATGCCTATTTTACATATTTACCCTTTCCAATAATATCCTTTTTTTTGGATCCGCTTTTGTGGCGTGTTTTGTTCCACGATAGATGGAGTGGTCAGATATTTTTTAATGCTACCCGTGCTTGTGCAGTCGAGAAATAATGGAGGTTTTTAAAATATGAAGGTCTTATTTTATTCCACTATAAATTAATTATTCCAATTTCAAAAAAAAATTCATTCCGATTTTCTGTCTATTATTCTGTATTTACATGTGACAAAAAAGTTAAATCATCTATTTTTTTGCTTATTTAATGAAAATTTTTATATACTTTTGTTATGGTGACATCTACTCTGTTGACCATTATCTTAAGCATTTAGCTTTAGAGTTTTTGAAAAGTAATCCGATCCTACCCTGGCTTTTTAAAAGTTGATTTGAAAAATAATACAAAAACTCTATGCAAAGATTCCCAACCCAAAATCAGCTTACATACACTACGAAGTAATGAACAAAAAGATGTAAATTAAGTGTTGATTTGTAAGTGATTGATTGTCAATGAGAGCTCAATTAGAAGATGGAGATAGTGTTCTTAACTGCCTGGGAATGAAACAGGGAGTTGCTGGGCGTTTTCAACAATTGCAGCGGTTGAGGGAGTGAATCAGATCGTCACCGGTGATCTGATCTCACTGTCTGAGCAGGAACTGGTGGACTGTGACACACAATCCAACCAAGGTTGCAATGGTGGTTTAATGGATGATGCTTTTGAGTTCATCATCAAGAATGGAGGCATTGACACTGAGAAGGACTACCCTTATACCGGGGTAGATGGCAGATGCGATTCGTACAGGGTTAGCTTTCAACTCCTAATCTGCTAATCTTTATACATCAAAAGAACTTCTAAGTTTCTTGAGGAGTAAGTGGGTACTAAATTTTGTTTTTGACAACCTTGTTTAATAACAGAAAAACAATGCCAAGGTTGTTACTATTAATGGGTACGAAGATGTTCCTGCAAACAACGAGGCTGCCCTGCAGAAGGCTCTGGCAAATCAGCCCATTGCCGTTGCTATTGAAGCTGGTGGAAGGGACTTCCAACTCTATCAATCGGTATTCCATTCAATGTGACTATAGTCTAATTATTGTTTGCCACTCTTGATTATTTTGACATGTTATCCGTCCAATTCCCGATTTCTACTTGATTTTTGAGTGGGTTTCTTGGCTCATAAAGGTCTAGATCAAGAACTATATTAGTCACAATATGTTGTGATTGTTGGTCCAAATCTGTAACTTCAAAACTCATTCTCAGGGCATATTCACTGGATCATGCGGAACTGATTTGGACCACGGCGTGACTGCGGTTGGTTACGGGACTGAAAATGGTGTTGACTATTGGATTGTGAAGAATTCTTGGGGAGCAGCCTGGGGGGAGAAAGGGTATGTGAGGATGCAGCGCAACGTGCCTGCAAAAGCCGGCCTGTGTGGCATAGCAATCGAGCCTTCTTACCCTACAAAGAGCGGGCAAAACCCTCCTCCAACCCCACCAAGCCCTCCCACTCCTGTTCCTCCATCCCCAGCGGCTCCCAATGCTTGTGACCGATACAACGCCTGCCCCTCAAGCACCACCTGCTGCTGTGTCTTCCCCTTTGGAAACTACTGCTTCTCTTGGGGCTGCTGCCCTCTCACCAGCGCCGTGTGCTGTGAGGATCACTACAGTTGCTGCCCTCAAGACTACCCTGTTTGTAACATTAGACATGGCACCTGCTCAAAGGTACATCTTTCATTCATCATCATACTTATAACTATAAGGAAAACCTGAAATGAGTATTGAGAATTCCAATATTGATGCAGAGCAAACATAACCCACTTGGAGTGAAGGCGATGACGCGCATTCCGGCGCAACCAGCGTGGGCTTTCAGAGACCAGGGGAGGAAGGAGAAGATGAACTGATCTTTCCATGGCCGCAATTAAAATGGACTTTGTGCCCATTCAATTCCATTCTTGAAAAGTTTCAGAACATGGCGATGATGAACACATTCTTCATGGGATCGTATTGTGACAAACTGATTTGTGTATATAGTGCTGCTTTCTTTTCTATGTTTCCCGTCATCATCATATCAAACTGCTTACTTTTATGGTTTATGTAGTATTGCTACTAAGCAATGTTATGTTTGTTGTTCTCTGTTAATATCAAACTTTGCTTTCACTTTCTGTTACTTCCCCCCTAATTTCCCCCTATTTCTATTTTTTACAAATATTTTAATCTCACTTTTTTCGTTTTTAACTTTCTAAGACTAGAAATTCTTAATTATGTGATTGAGGTAATATTTGTCTTAAAATAAAGGATAAACCTCATCTTCAAGGGCTTGACTCGGTCGGACGGTCATCAGGTACTTGCAGAGGTCCAATGCTTAACATAGTTGTCTTTCAACGTAGTTGTCATGAATCGAACTCGGGTCTTACCCTCTTGACATTTCTTGTCTTACCAACTGCGCAACGCCCACATGTTAATATTTGTCTACTTGATAACTGGTAAAAAGCATAGTATAAATTTCCCGAATACATGTGGACATGTGGTTTGTTTCACCCTGTTATATTTTTACATTATTCAAACATATTTAAATCCGACAATGAGATGATTCTATTTATTTGGCGAAGATATTTTTGTAGACTTACGAACTAAGAAAGGCCAAACAAATACTCCGTAGTATTGTGACAAAAAGAACTAGTTGGCTTATTATTGGCTCTGACTCGACATGGATACATTTCAAATTTTGGATTTATGGAGTTGGAATAGTACTGTGATTTGTGACAAATTGAGCAAGTAGGGTTATTACGTATTATTCGCTATGAAAACGATAAATTTAACAAATTGAGCAAGTATGGTTATTACGTATTATTGGCTATGAAAACGATAGATTTAAATTTGAGTCGTACTAGAAACTCACGTACAAACACAAGTGATAATCGTCATAAACAATAATCAATTCACGAAATTCACGGACTAATAATTTTTGTGTACAAAATCACAAATAGTTGTCATCCATGATGAATTTCACTTTTATTTAGATTTCTGGATTCATGTAGTACGAAGTCTTTTAATTGAGAGTTTTTTTATTGCAAACACAGTTCTAGGACGTAAATTTAGAGAATGGAATCCTTCATTTGACTACAATTGCAAGTTTTAACTTTTGATTAAAACCTTTTCTTAAGAATTTGATAATAATTGAGATGGCTATCTTCATTTGTTCTTTCTCCTCTATTGGGGAAGTTGCTTAATGAGTAAGTTCCGGCTTTGGTTATTTCACAAAAAAAAAAAAAGTGGCTTTTAAGCTTTTTGGAGTAGCTATTTGGAATTATTTGGAGAAGCTAATTTTCAGACTCAACTTCACAAAAAAAATAAAAAATAAAATAGAGAGAACTTATTATAAAAAGAAAAAAACAAGTGGGAGTAACATACTGCACATATAAATAAAAATAAAAGAATTATAAAATCAATAATTCATACACAAGTGCAAAATATCTAGATTGGACTGGTAAAGGAAAAAACCCCAAGAAAAATGATCATTCATGATTGATGTATTGAACACACAATGTTGCAAAACAGTTATTGGATCTATGGATTAACCATTATAGAACACAGAAGTTAGCAGCTCTGGCATTGAAACACCAAGAAACCTACTTCATCCCATAGAGAATGAAAAAGGAGGTGTATTTAAGGGCTGATAGTTTCCAATCTGAATTCTGAATATGTCGGGCATCACCGCCGGAAAACAAGCTCTCAACCATCTCACTGACTCTGCTTCTCAAAGAAAATCAAGACCTACCATTTATGTATGGTTTACTGTACAAGCAGTGCATCCTCGGACGAGGATGCACCTTTCTTCCCTGTGTAACGCTGGAAAAAAATGACAGATCCTTAGTGTGTGTTTGGTAGCCACCTTTTATTGATGGAGGTACTCTTTTAGAATGGTTTGTGAAAAAAAATATGGCAGGAGGTACTCTTTGTTGACAAAAAAAGGCTTATATATAATAATACAAGTTACTCCTTTCATAGCCAATTGGTTTTGAGTTGTAATCTCACAACTCTACATGGTATCAAAGCCAAAGGTTTAGGAGCTCAAAAAATAAGCTCAGGTCTATTCAAGAGAGAAAAAGACCCAATTTGCACTTGAAGGGATGCTAAGGATAAAGTCCCACATTGAACAACCAGGCTAAAAAAAGCTAATACTCCCTCCGGTCCTAAAGATGAACCCGATTATATTAAATTTCTATTAAAATTAAATATACTTTTCTTGCAATTTATGGTCAAAGAGTGTCACTTTTGACCAAAAAAGGCAAAACATGAAAGGTTTTTAGGACCGGAAGGAGTATATAAGTATAAGAGCAACTCATCTCAGGGCCAATTGGTTTTAGGTTGAAATCTCAAAATTCTACTCTTTTGTCTTAAGTTGTTGAACACAACCTTTTTTGTTTCTCTTTCATGATTTTATCATCAAAATGTACTTGTGTTTGTAAAATCCAACAATTTCCCATACGACTTGTTCGCCACACCAAATGGGCTCTGGTAATCATTACTTGATATGGAGTAACAAGTATCAATCTCGCCAAGAAAACAGATAAGCATAAGTTCAATGATTACCTGCTTGCCAAATGTGAAAGGGACATATTTGTATTTCACCATGTGCATTATCTGCCTCTTCATTGTTGACACAAAGAGCACAAACCAGTAGAACAATAGAATCGGCCAAAAAACAGGTACATCAAAGGCACTGAAGAATGTCAACACAAATGCAATGAAGAATCCCTTCGTTAGAGAATGCCTGTCATGACCATGTACGAAAACATGAGATCCACACCCTTGTTTGAAGAAGAGTAGTATTTTTCATCAGATCATAGGCGAAGAGATTCACATAAACAAAAAATGAATATATATCAAATCATTGAAAACAAGTACTGGTTTTGTGTGATGAATGTAAATCTTATGAATATTACGATGCCTTCAATCATCTCTCGTTGGAGGCTAGTGCGAGATAAGGTCAACTGGCATACAAAATGAGACTTGTCCTTCACAAATCAAAGAAACATAATGTTTTGAACACACAATTTCTTAGATGAATGAAAAAAAAAACATTTGAAAGGTTTCAAACTGCATATCCATTTGTTCATTTCCAAGTTCTAAAACAAACAAGCTCAAGATGAAGTCTCATTGTAACCAACCTTACCATTGACTCTATGAGTGACTGTTACCTATGACCTATACCATATATTGACAAAGAAACAGATTCAAGTATTTATAACCTAATGCCAAATTATTGATTTTGAATAAGCACATACCTACAACACCATCAATGGAAGGTCAAATGATATTTCTACCACATGCAACTCATTTTCCATTTACTCCTTTTGAAGGTTGCAGTTTCAAAAGTATTTAATAATGTCACTCTCTTAGACAGTTAACTAAGACTGCAAAATTCAAGAGAAAGATACCAACACGGTTGGAATTAAGGCACCTAAGATGCCGATGCAAATCCATCACCATATATTTGAGTTAATCTACAAGTCTTAGAATCGATTCTACAATCGAGAAAATGTCAAATTTATTAGGAGTATCAATTTTTAAAAAATCGAAATCGGATTAATTTTGTAATTTACAATCAATCAGCGAGACAAATTAGGATGCAAAATCAGAGAGCGTTAATGGATCGAAACAGAACGAACCAGAACTTGAATTCAGGGAGGCGTCGAACGAAAGGGCGAAACTCGTCGGAGCCCCGGGTGGGGAGGGTGGGACCGTCGGAAAGCTCGTGGATCTCGGGATCAACCTGTGGCGAAAGGAAGGCGATAAGGAGCTGGATGATGTATATACCGAGACCATAGGTTATGATGTAGAATCCTTGGACTAGGTACACCCGCAGGGCGTAGATGAGGACGACGATCGAGAAGAAGATCCAGCGGCGGAGCACTAGAGGCGTCGACTTGTCCAGTATGTGTTGGTACTGCCTCCATACGGTGAAACTCCACTGCGACACGGCGGATGATCCATCGTCGCCGCTGGCTGTTCCGGCACCGACATTCATCATTGCCGCTTCGTCCGCCTAACTTTTATTTATTTTTATTTTATTTGTGTAATCTTTGGCGTTTCTCTTGTAAAATTTGTTTTGGAGTCACCTCTGGTTCAAAACTTTTAGTTGAAGAGTTATAGTGCAATTGCACTACAAATTAATATCCCCATTTAATTTTGAAATAATATCCCTATGGTTGCGACATGTGAACATTTCTCATTATTAAATTTTAACTGGTTAAATGTCATAATTTGACAAGTCATTTTTATTTTATGTTCTAAAGGGCTTGTGATATTATAATACACTTCTTAAAATTACTCTTTTTTATTAATAAATTCTAAACCTGCATCACTTACTTTTTGAGATTTTTCTTTTCAAAGTTTGATATATAAATCAAACAAGATAAAATTTCTGGAACATAAGATTTATCAAATAATAATTTGAGATATGTATTTTAATCTAAAATCGTCCATCTTCGCATCCATTTCCATCATCTCCATTTCTTTCTAAGACTATGGATTTTTTTTTAAAAAAATTGCTGTTGGGTACCCTCAATTTTGTGTTAAGAACTCGCAGGTCCCATTATTTTTCAAAATATACTCCGGAGTACCTTAAATATTCAAAAAGTCACTCCGAGGTGACAATCCGTCAACCTCTCCGTCAAACTCAATATGCCGTTATCTTTTTCATCATCATCACCACACCTTTCCATCTTCTTCTTCACATTTCGTCTTCTTCTCCAGCCCCCCATCCATCCCCTTTTCTTTTTTTTTTTTGGTTTTGTTTTGAATTCTACGCCATCTCATCCCCTTTTTTGCTTCTTCATTTTCTTTTTTCTATTAATATTATTTTATTATTTATTATTATTATTACTATCTTTATTTATTTTTTATTATTAAATTTAACTAGTAGTTTTACTCCTCTAATGTTTTAGCAAAATAGCACTAAAGCCCCTGAAAAATTGTTTGTATGCCCCCATTAACCTTTTCTAATCTTCAGTTGCATAAAAAAAATTATGTACTCCGTATAATTTATAAAATTAAGATTATTTATCATCTTGGTTATAAATTAAATGTCGTAATTCATAATAATAATATCAAATTCAACACTATTTTTACCGTCTCATCATAATATTTTTAGAAAAATCCAAAGATGCTTACTCGTCCTATTATAGCCCCATTTCCTCTCATTTTCTAGATTCACCACTATTAATGGTGACTGTCGATGACTAATGCGCGACTAATGCGGAAGACAACATCAGATGGCTGCAAAACTATAGTTGTGAAAACTACTAATAATTTTTTTTTGAAAAGCCAATAGTAAGTGTTGTTTTAAATAATAAATGCTTTTTTCTAAATAATAATTAGTTTTTTTCTTAAAAAAGGAGTAATAAAACAACTAACTAATTTTTAATAATAATAAAAATAATAATGAATAAATAATAATAGTATAGAAGAAGAAGAAAATTATAAGAAATGAATAATGATTAATAATAAGTAATTTTATTTTTATAAAAAGTAACGGTAGTAAAATTACTAATTATTTCTTTATAATAGTATTAATAATAATAAGTTTTATGTTTTTAATAATAGGTTCTATTTTACTAAATAAAAATCAGTGTTATTTTTTCAAAGAAAAAGAAGTAAAAAAATTAATTTTGAATAATATTATTAATAATAATAAATAATAAATAAACATAATGATTAACAATAATAATAAAATAAGAAGAAATAATAATTAATGTCAAGTAATAATAATAAGTACTGCAATTCTTCTAAAAAGAATAGAGTAGTAAAACTACTCATAAATTCTTTAACAATAATAATAATAATACTTAATAACAAATTTATAACACTAATTGTTATTTAGAAAAATAGCACTTATTATTAAAAAATAACACATATTATTATTAATACAATTGAAGTAGTAAAACTACGAATTAAATAATAATAATAAATAATAATAATAAATAATGATAATAATAATAACAAATAATAATATGATAGTAATAGAAGAAAAGAAAAATGAAGAAGCAAAAAAGGGGATAGGATGGCGTAGATTTCAAAACAAAAAAAAGTAAAGAAGAAAAATAGAGGGGTGGGTGGCTGGAGAAGAAGAAGAAAGAAGAAGAAGCAGATGGAAAGATGGTGGTGATGATAATGAAAAAGATAACGGCAAATTGGATTTGACGAAGAGATTGACGGATTGTCACTCCGTAGTGATTTTTTGAATATTTTAAGGTACCTCGAAGTATATTTTGAAAAATAATGGGATCTGCAAGTTCTTATGCCAAAACTAGGGGTACCCGATAGCAATTTTTTGTTTTTTTTTGACATTATTGATGGATAAGACTTTACTTTGAATTGTGGGTATCTTCTCGGTCATGAGAAATTTGATGAGATTGAGTATAGATTTGAGGTTATAGAAAGGCATGCATAGGGTTGAGAATCATGTGGTGTTCTAGATTCTCGTTAATTAAGAGATATTTCTCTGTGCTAATATTTATTTATTTATTGCTGATAAATAGCTTTTAATTTATAAATTATTTACAAGTTAAATATTTTTTCATAGAAGCAAAATGGCTTAAATGATAAACAAATCATTTATAAATATTTATAAATGGTGAGGAACAGTATTATAAACAAACAGGTCAAAATGAAGAAATGAAAAAAGTGGCTTAAACTAAGTAGCTAAGATCTACTTATTTTTTCATATTTTTAAACAACATAAAAGAACACAGAAACATGTCATCAGATGATTTATACATTAAAAATTACTCCCTCCGTCCGGAAATGTTCTTCCCGTGTTGACTTGGCACGTTTATTAAGGAATAGTAAAAAAAATGCAAAATTTTCAAAAATGCACATACTATAAACTTTTAAATCTCCTTTTATTATTAAAAAAGTACTAAAAGAGTATATTTGTGATAAAATAGAAGGGTATTATTGATATTTAGCCTTAAAAAGTATACTAAAAAAGGAAATGGGAAGAATATTTCCGGACGGACCAAAAAGGAAAATGGGAAGAATATTTCCGGACGGAGGGAGTATTTATAATGAGTTTTGACCAATTTATAAGCACAGAGAAACACCAACTAAGTAGACTTTATATATTTATGCATGAGATTATAAAAATAGTTTGAAAAAGATAAAAAGAGCTCTATTTGATACTCTCTCCGTCCTAATTCTTTCTTCCCAGTTTGACTTTTCCCCGTTTTTAATTTTGACTTTGACTTCAAATTTTACCCTCTTTAAAAAGGATTTTTTGAATTTTTTTTACAATCATTCAAAATATAGAGTTAGAAGATAATTCGTGTAAATACATGAGGGTATTAATGTCATTTGTCATCTTTTTTTTAACGGGAAGGTAATTTTAGGACGGAAAAAAGGGGAAGTGGAAAGAAAGTTTTAGGACAGAAGGAGTTACTCATTTCTCTTGGAATCTTGATCCAAAATACGTAGTAAATAGTTTGTGTAATAGTGTGTACACATTCGATAGAATTATGAGATTCACATTTTGACTCTTATTATGAGTTTTTTTTTTTAATTTTGATCATAAATTATTGAAAAAAATATACTCTTTTGTCCTTAAATAAATTAAGCTGTAATCTAGCCAAGACAAAGTAAAATCTAATTTTTTTAATTTAAAAATTAGTATAGAAATAAAAAAAATTTGCAAAAAGAGAAATTACATATTTAAAAAATACATCACGAATTTTACAAAATGAGATATAACAAAATTATTTTATTTTATCAAATAATAAAAAAACATATAGAAATAAAAGTTATTGTGATTTTTGATTTGTAAAGAATGTAAATTATTGTGAGATAGAGAGAGTATCAAATTGTTTAATAAATTTAATATCAATAAACTCCCTCCGTCCCAAATTATTTGCCACATTTGTATTCACGAGGCAAAATATCAAGTTTTTTTAATTTATTTTATTTACATATTGGTAAAAAAATAAACAATAAAATTTACATTAAAAAAACTGAATGAAAAGTTCTTCGAAATAAGAGGTGTCAAGAATATTTAATTTTATCAAATAATCAATGAAAACGTCAAAATAAACAAAAATTCTCGATACTGCTGAAAAAGCAAATGTTGTGAATATTTAGGGACGGAGAAAATATAAAGTATTCTATAGAAGACATGAAAAGTTAAAAGTAAAAAAAGATATCACATCATGGGATTAAATTAAATGTTCTCACATTTTGAATAACTCTTTAATATTGAATTTGAAGAGAAAAATATAATGAATTTGAAGAGAAAAATATAATGAAACTCCAAACTTATTTTTATTACTTCTAAGAAAGTACATAACTAACAATTCCATATATCTAAATTCCTGGCTTGAGTGGAAGAGAAATCCACCCCCAAGACGAAACTCACCCAAGTTTGATTTCGAGCAGAAGCAAAAGTGTTGCTCACTGTACGTTATTAAGTTTGAGAAAGTATATTCAATTTTGCATTAATAAAGTATGAAAATTAAGATAATTAATACTTCATCCTTCTTAAAACTATCTTCCCATTTGTGTTTACGAGGTTTGACCGACTATATTTTGAAATCAGTTTATTTGATTGTAGGTGTAAAATTTAAAAATAAAATTTATATATTTAAAAACAACATTAAAAGTTCTACAAAACAAAAGTTGACAAGACTATATTATTTTATCAAATAACTAAAGAAAATAGGTAAAGAAAGTGATTTAAGTTTAACTGTGTAAATAGTAACTGAGAAGATATTTTTAGGACTTAGATGTATAAAACTCTAGACTATATGTCACTGTGTAATACGGAGTACATTCCATGAAGACAATTAGCTACACGCCCTTAACCTTGAACGCACCACTTATTCACTCTCATAAGAAACCCATTTTTTTTTCAATCGTTGCGGTCGCCGGTTTCCTTGGCAGAATCGATCGTGTCAGCCAACTTGGTGGCGGCATCCGCCATGGCGCCACCCACGCCGGGGTTTTCACCAGTCCGACGCAGATGGGTCACTTCCACCGCCTCTTTCCGCGGCGGGTGTTGCCCCGGAGGCGACTCGTACTTTGTGCTCTCCACCTTCGTCTCAACCGCGCCTTCTTCGTTTATGTACTCTCTTTCCTAACGCCAATTAAATATATAAATTATTATGTTCCAAAAGCACATGAAATTAGATTGGATTATATTCTTTTTTGAATTTATTGTTCCACTTACGTACCTTAGAAGCATTCATGTTTAGTTCTCTTCTTAAACTTCCGGGCAGGAGAAAAACCAAAGGGACAAAAGCGTAATTTAAATGCAAACTTGTGGATTTATATTTATTTATAATTATTATTTATAATTCTAGAGATAATAGATAGCTGCAAAATGAACAATTTATAGAAATGAGAAGCTAAGAGATGAAGAAGCGGTCGCTTATTACGAGCTGGCCACGTACAAGGATGTTTTTGTCCCGCCTGACACGCGTCCTGTTGTAGGTAAAGCCCAAGATAGGCCCAATATTTGATAAGCCCATACTCGCTATTTTTTAGAGGCCCATATTCGAAATGCCAATTTTCCATTTTTCTTCGTGGAAAATAAAAAAACGGATGGGACACAATAATGGAAACAAACTTTAGCTAAGAACACGGAGTGGAATTGGTGACATTATTAAGGTTTGAGAAAAACAAGGATTTGTGTTTGAAAACGGCGTCGGCCAGCAAATAACCGAGCTTCACGTAGCCGTCAATGGTGAGATGGACCCCATCCCCTTGCATAGGGAGCCCATCCCCGTCCACGTTCACCACATTTGGCAAGTCCAATCCCATTTGGGCTTTCCTCACGTCTTCTATCAACGGCCCTTCAAACGGCGGTTTCTGGTGCGGAATTACCACCTGTCAATTTGCACGCGAACATTAATTTTTTTAATGGTATGGTGGGACGAGTTACGTTTTATAAAATTATAAAATTTGCAATGAATAAGAATAAAACATAAGTCATTTTCTAATGTAGGGTTGAAACTTTTTTTTCCCTAAATAGAACTTAATAATGACTAGTGAGAAGAATAATGTCTAAGTGATGCTGGACATTTAGTTGAATAATGACTAATAGATAATGACTAATGGTCCAACATTGGGAAAATAAAAACATATGGTCATATATTCAGAAAGTCATTATATTTTAGTCCTATTTAGGTAAATTACTCTTTATAATTTGTACTCACCTGAACCCATGGAAGCATGGGAGACTTCAAGTCGGCGCGCAATCTCGAGACGAGTAGTCGGAGGTTTCGGGCGTAAGATTTCCCGAAGCTGTAGTACTTCGAGTCGCTCTCGCCTTGGAACCACAACACCGCTCTAAGGATGCCGCCTTTACTGATCGCCATTTGCGTCCGGTAAAGCAGGGACGGGTACGGGTAATCTGTCGGGGTGGTCCAGTTCTTCATGGACGTCCCGCCCGCGGCGCACGGGACCAGCCCGATGGGCCCGAAGTCCGGGTCCAGAGCCAGGAGATGGTTGGCGAACGCCATCCCTATCCCGATCCCGCACGTCGTCGTGCACCCGATCCCGGCATGGACCGGTTCTTTCGCTGGCTCCCACTGGAACTGCTCGTTGAACCGGTACACGTTCGGGTTCGGGTGGCTTTCGGGCGGGACGCTCCCGTCCCACACCTTGAGGAGTGTGTCATTGCCGAATTTCCTCCATTCCACGCCACCGCGCCCCGCCATGTTGCTTTGCCCTGCCATTACTATGATTTGTTTCGGCCGCTTATCTGCGCGCGCAGAACTTTCTTCTTTTAAAAGCAAAAGCATTTCCCCGCTTGGAAATATCGTTTGCCACAAGTACAGTACTAGGAGCAGTATCGTCAAGAACGCGATTGTCGTGCTCCCGTTCTTCATCTCCATCTTTGCATTGATCGGAGATCGAAGCGATTGACGATACTGCTACTGGTACTGATACTCGATATGAACCTCCATGAATTAATATAATCATATACTTCTTTGCATTTAAAGAATTGGGAGAATGGGATGAATGTGTTGATAAATTTTCTTTGATTGTCACGTTTGGTGATCTGCTACATTCATTGAACATGAAAATGGAATGTTGGATGCTAACAATAATAACTTGATTCATTTCCCTGGTGAAGTGAACTAGAAAAAATGGGAGATACACATAATAAAAGCGAATTAAATTTCTTTCTCAAATTAGGAAAATAATGGATACTACTAATGATGATGACAGAGATAAGAGGCTTGAAGAGAAGAGAACAGGGGAGAGGGAAGAGGGGGAGCGGTGGCGGGCGGGCGGTGCCGCTGCTAGTTTGGAGGCGGAGACGGGGTGGAGGAAAGCATCAGCCAACATCTTTCCGAGCTCCACCTCGGCGGCGGCGGTGAGGTGGAGGTGGTCGTACCCAACATCTAGCCCTTTGGCGTCCACGGTTTTCACATGAGGAAGATCCACTCCCAGCTGCGCCTTTCTTACTGTCTCTATAAAGGGTCCTTGCTTTGTAGCCAAAGCCACCTGTATGTATATGAATGTAATATAAAGTATAAACAACACAAAATCACAAATGAATCCATGAATAAATAACGAGATCCCATTATGCTCTGTTGTTTTTTTTTAGATCTCCATGCCAAATCATATAAGAATTTTTTTTCCTTTTAAACGAAGGGAACATATATTATCACTACATTTTTCTATACCAAATACTTGGATCATAGACTACTCATCCAATTTAACTTTTAGTGTTATTGATAGAATTTAGGATTGGATAAAAACCATTAAACTGGACCATAAGATACTAAGATTGAACCAAATTAAAAGATTGAATTCAATCGATTACTTAATTCAACTTAAGAACTTATATACCGATTTATTTTCTCTTCAGGTTTCGATGTGTGATACTATTTAACGCTCCCTCTCAAGTAGACAATCGTACCATTTTGAATCTAATTGGTTGACTACTTGCAAATAGACCCCTCTCCAGAAAATGAAAAACTTGAAAGTGTCAACACCTAAAGGATCACGCCCGAGTCGCTAGGCATGAACTTCTAGACGATCAATTGGGTTATATGGGTCACATGCCGTTTTGCATATGGGCAACTAGGCTAAAAACAAAAGGACTGTAGGAATGAATTTCTAGACGGACACTTTAACAAATGATGTGAGTTAACTATGGCTCCGATATGATGATAGAATTTAGGATTAGATAGGAATCATTAGACTGGGTCATAAGACACTTGGGTTGAACCACATTAAAAGATTGAATGCAATCGATTATTTAGTTCAACTCAAAAGCTTATATACCGATTTGTTTTCTTTTCAAGATGTGAGATACTCTTTAGCAGTTACCGATTATTTTGGACAAATGAACTTATTTAATTTAAGATCCGGCGTTAATTTTAACCGACATTGATACGAGTTTTAGAGATGTGAAGTATACAATTATCAACAATATTACAAATTTTTTAGGGGGTCACTACACCTTCAAATGTTGAATCTTAAACATAATTTGCCTAAAATTGTGTCTATATCTATATTTTAAATACGTGTGGATCCCATGTATATGGTTTGCAATCATACATATATGGAGCTAGAGATGGGCCAATCATATCCAGTCCTGGCCCACTCAATATTCAATATAAAAAAAATTAAAAATCTCCATCCTCGGCTTCTTTTGTGCGTTAAACTTTGGGTGTATAAATTTAACTGGGCCAAGCCTTTTAAAATTTAATTTAATTACCTTCTCTTCCCATTTTCTTGGTACCTCGGACCCACGTATGTTAATGTAAGAGATAAGACTGAAGTCGTCCAACTCTGATGAACCAAGTAAGCAAAGAATTGGACTTATATCAATCCAATGAGAAAATACACGAATGACAGATATTACGGACTAGATATTAATACAAAAATAATTTTATAAAATTTATTTTATAAAAATTATTTTCTCGATATATGATTTTTAATTATAGATAAAGGTTTAAAATCTAAGTTTTTAATTGAAATTGAATTTTACCTGAATGATGGGAAGAGCTGGTAACTGAAGATCACTACGGACGTCAATGAAGAAGTTCCTCAGTCTATCTCTGTACTCCCTGGCCTCCTCAAGATTCACTGTGTCACTCTCCCCCTGATACCAAAGAAGACCCCGAATCCTCGCTCCCCCACGCGCCGCCGCCGCGCTTCTGTGAATCAACCGGGAGTAGAGGAACCCTCCGCGGGCCCACTTCCTTATGTTCGTCCCACCGACGGCGCAGGGGACCAACCCAATCACCCCGACGCTCGGGTCCTTCCTCAGTACGGCGTGGGCGAATGACATTCCGGGCCCGATTCCGACCGTCCGGTTCAGGTCTACGCCGGAGTGGAGGGGTTCTCGGGCCGGCTCCCAGACATTGGCCGTGTTGAGCCTGAGAATCGATGGGCTGGGCTGGCATTCAGGGGGGACGTGGCCGTCCCAGACGCCGTGGAGGACGCCGCCGCGGCCGGCCATGTTGCTCTGCCCGGCGAGAAGGAAGACGGTGGTTGGGTGGCCGCCGCCGTTACCGGATAGATCTGCTTGGGTGGCGGCGGCGGAGGTGGCGGAGACCAGAAGGAAGATGCTGAGAAGGAGGCCAAACATGACCAAACTTTTGAAATGTGGGTTTAGTTGGAATTACTTCTTTGCTTTTGGAGTTTGGAAGTTCACTATGGCAAATTCCCATTTGAACTCATTCCTTTCTAGCCATCTGCTCTTTCACTCCCTCTCAAAATTATCAAATTAGATTATTTCTTTTAGAACCTTTTTTTTTTGTAAAACTTTGAATACAATATGTTATTCCCTCAGTCCTAGAGTACATGGGCGGATCCACCTTTAGAATATGGGGGCAGCTGCCCCCAATCAAATTTTTTTAATTTTTTTTTATTTTTTTACTTTTAAGTATTCTAGCCCCAGTAAAAATATAAAAACCGCCCCGAGTGGACCATTCTTGTAAATAAAATATCCAGCTAATTGCCTAAAGCCCAATCCCAAAAGCAGTCCAAATAAGCAAATATAATTACTTCCTTCTTAATTTATAGCAATTTCTGGTTATGGATTTAGTAAAAAAGTCTGTTGCGTTTTTAAATAGAATATAAAGTGAAGTATTTGTAATACTCTAGTGATATTAAATATACTTCGTTGTATGTATTTTATTTAGTACTCCGTATAACATTTTGCTACTTTTGAAATACTATGTTTTACTTATTTTAAACTTGTTTGATATAAAATTAAATGAAAATTATCATAATTTAAAAGCATCTTTAAAAAAACTTGGAGACGCTGCCCAAAAACACCCCCTTATTATCTCGCCCCCAGCCATTTATTATCCTGGATCCGCCACTGCTGGAGTTTTCATCAAGTTTTGACTTTTGGAGCTGTTCATCTAAGTACTTTGACTCATTAAATTCTCTCAATGTGTAAGTCTAAATATAGTCATGTGTGATCTTGTTTGATTTATCTTAACATATAGATTACTCCATATTAATATATAATTTCTATAATTTTTTAATATACAAATTACAAGATAAAATGGATCAAAGAAGTGTATTGGATGGTGTGTAAAAATGAAAGTGGACAAATACACTGGGACAGAGGTAGTAATACGTAAATTTCATAAAATGTTTCATAACCTAATTTCAAAATAAATTAATGTATAGGAGTATATTCCACGCCCAATTATTTTTAGAGGTGAATTGCAATTAATAATTTTGACATTTATAGTGAGAGAAATTGTAGTGTCAATTAATCTAAAAAAAAAGATTAAGCCCAATTTCTAGGGTGCTATTGTTGGGACCTTGTGTCTCCTCTCCCAACACCACATTTATATGTTATTGTCCGTTTTCAGTTAAATATTCAGAAATTTATTTTTGGGTATCTTTAAAAAGCCTTACACTAATGAGTTGGGGTAATCATATAAATGTTGATTTTCTTTCTTCTAATCCTCCAGTGTGAGATTGGTTTGTATCTAACAAATCTTCTCACAAACTAAGACCACATAATCCTGTGACGAATTTATTTTTGGACATCTCCATATTTTATCTGCATAACATCTTTGTTGTTATAATGTAATACCCCATATTAAGATGAGAATGGGAAGAGCTCAAAAGGATTGATAGTACTACTCATACCAACAAGGTGCATCTTCTTTTCGAGAGCTCATTACCTAGAAACTCCAAAGTTAAGCGTGCTTGACCTGGAGCAATTTTAGAATAGGTGACCTCCTAGGAAATTCCTTGGGCGCGCACGAGTGAGGACAAAGTGCGCGGGAAAGACGTGTGTTGGTTTGTGGGGCCAGTCTACAATCCTATGAGCGGACACTTACGGCCAGGGTGGGAATCGAGGTGTTACATATAAACTTACAGGACATGACACCCGACCTCTATCTGTCGGAGAGACTTTCGGCACAAGATATACTGCGGCCCGTTAAGCTCACACATTCCACCATTAACACCGTGAATTCTGCACAACGCATTTTGCCACGCTAAATCTGAGCTTTGATACCATATGTTGGGAACACACACGTCTTCCCCCAACCCCACAATAGTATGGTATTGTCTGTTCTGGGTCAAATTCTCACAAATTTATTTCTGGACTATCTCCCAAAAGAGTTCACGCTAATGAGATTGGGGTAACAATATAAATGTTGATTCTCTTTCTTCTAATCATTGGGTGTGGGATTGGTTTATACCCCAACATCTATGTACATATTTCACGGGTCCCAAAATAATATTTCTAATTTTTGTTCAATGTGTTAAACTAATTCAATTTTTCTCATCCATTTTCATCGCTCATTTAATAAAATAAGATAACATTGGTATCACTTATTTCGTACAAATATAACTTTTGATGTAACTTTTTTAACACGAGTATATTATTTTATTTTTTAGTTCTATGTAAATTTTTTACTTATATTGATTCAAAAAATTTCAGTCAAATATTATAAATCGAACAAGAGCCTGAGTGTGGGACACATGGAATAATTATATACAAGTTTGGAATTAAGAGAATAACTTGGAATGAGATTAATGAAAGTTCTGGCTTGTTTAAAATAACTTAAAATTATTTTAAATAAAATTTTAATAATGTATTCAATTTTAAAAGTACTAAAATTTGATAATATCATTACATACTCCTTTCAAAACATAAAACTTCTAACTTTAATTTTGTGGTAAATAGGGTCTTCATCTAACAAAAACACCACGATAATGGATTCCTTCTACCACCCAGTTGAGACCCAAATAAAACTTCATTGATCTTCTTACATTACTATTGTTGGACTAGGAACCATTTTATTCACTTCATCGTAACCCTAATTAGAGGGCTTGAATTATTTCTTGGTAACAACACATCACACATAAGTTAGAGGGCTTGAATATTAGATTGATGAGTAGTTTATTTGCCGGCCCAATAAGCCAAATTCTTGTAAAATTGTGCCAGGCCCATGAGTGGCCTAAGTGGCGGCTAGCTCCCTTGATAATAATAACCACCATGTTAGGGACACCAAAAAATATACACCAAGTTGTACCCTAAAGAAATTTCCTCCATTTAATGGTTTACACTGGCATAAAATGTTACTTCCTCCGTCCTATAATGATCTTCCCGGTTCGCAAAACGAAGAAAAATTCCAAGTTTTTTCAATCTATTTTATTTAAATATTGGTATAGAAATAAAAAATAAAACATACATATTTAAAAACTAGGCCATGAAAAAACACAAATAAATATAAATTCCCGTGAAGTTGAAATAGTGCTCTGGGAAGATCATTATAGGATGGAAGGAGTAATTTACTTAGAAAATATATATTGACATTTCTTATTAATGTAAACCATCACACTAGCATAAAATATCGGTGCATGCTTTGGGTCACAAAATATATCAAAATTCATCCATCCACACCATCCATTTTTTTAATGCATTATTTTTTAAACTATTACTCCCAAGTCCCAACACATTTCTTCTGTTCCTCCATTTAATTAGTTATTCATGTGTCTCACTTTATGCTATTTTATTTTTTATTTTAGACAAAAAATGAAAAATATTATTTTAATATTTAAGTACGGAGTATTATACTCCGTATGAATTTATAGTTGGATGAATAAAATTAGAGTACAAAATTAAACTAATATTATAATTGAATAAAATATTTTAACATTTCAAAAATAAATATTAAAAATTCAATACTTTTATGAAATAAATTTTTTAAATATTTGGATATTAGATATTACAAATTCAATATTTGTAATAAATATTAAGATTAATAAGCCCTACATTTCAATGTTTCCAATGCAATGAAAATTTACCCATCTCTTTTCATCAAATTAATCATTCATAATCAACTAAACAATTTATTCTATTCATCCATTACTTTAAACACAATTTAAAAATCTAATGGAGATGTTGTAAGGGCACTACAAGCATAACGTCATGTGCGTCAAACTTGTTTTTAACTTCACCAGGACATTAAACACCGTCCTTCCATTGTCAAATGAACGTTAACACACTTGTGTTAAACGTTTAACGCAACCACTTGATTGCAAATAATCGTAACCCCCCTACTCCAACAGTCTAATTTTTGGCCATTGGCCAAATTTTCCAAAATGAATATTTTTTTAACTATAAATTTCTCTTATTTTAAAAAATACGCACAAAATATTTTCATTCTCTCTACAATTCATCCAAAAAATAGAATCATCTTCCTCTGATGATAAAAAAAACTTTTTTTTTTCTCGGCGCGCTATTACCAATAATGGCAACAATCACAACAAGTAAAAATAGAATTGTCCCTAGGGGTGAGTAAGTACCGAACCGATACCGAAATTTCCCGAAAAAACCGAGAATACCGAACCGAAAAATACCGAACCGAAAAAGTGCCGAGAAGAAACCGGACCATACCGAACCGAATGGTCGGTACGGTATTCGAGAACGGTACGAGGTGACCTCCCATACTAAAAATCCCGTACCGAACATTTATACTAAAATATTATAAAAAATAATACCCCGGAGTAATATTTTTATATTCCTTCACTAAATAATAATTTTTCTAAAAAAATTTGGTTCAAGTTCTATGATGTGCAAATTATACTTTTTTTTGAGTTTTAATTTTTATGTATAAACATAAAAGTATTCACAAAGATTTGAAATACTCCTTTGTTGTCATTCATTTTTTTAGTTTGTGAAATATAAACTAAGTTTTGATACACATCTTTTGCATTTAAATATTCATTTTTTTTATTTTTCATATTTTTTATTTAAATTCACTTTTAATTTGCAAAAATAAAAGGGTATTGTTAAATTTTTACGTGTAAACTATGTATATATATATTTATCCCGATTTGTACCGAAACCGATACCGAACCATCCCAAACCATACCAAATCGATATTTTGGGATCGGGATCAGTACGGAGTAAAATCCCATACCGAACCGAAATATTTGGTACCGTATCGGTACGAGCTAAATACCATACCATACCGTACCATGCTCACCCCTAATTGTCCCAGCGCTACATTCTACGTGAGCTAAATACCATACCATACCGTACCGGATGACTTAGAGAATGAATGGGAAAGTGAATGAATATGCTGTCCAGGCTGGATGGCCCAGTGTCAACCTCCCCACCAACTCCATCTCCAACCTCCAAACGGTCGGCGGTTTTGAAATTTCCGATTTCTTTTCTTTTTTTCTTTCTTTCTTTCTTTCCGGCTTAAGTCCTTCCTTCCAAATCCAAACTTCCTTTCGGAATCCCCGCGATTTCAGTAACGTGTGACTCATATCTGTCCTCCCACCGGATCTCACAGCCCGACGCGTGTCCCCTGCCAACTGTGCTCGTAACTGTCTTCCCCGTCATATATCCCACTTCCATTTCTGGGTCTGTTTCTTCATGGAGGAAATGGATCGGGTCAAGGGTCCATGGAGCCCCGATGAGGACAAGCGGTTGCAGCTGCTGGTGGAGAAGCACGGCCCCCGGAACTGGTCCCTCATCGGTAAATCTATTCCGGGTCGGTCCGGCAAGTCTTGCCGCCTCCGGTGGTGCAACCAGCTGTCTCCCCAGGTGGAGCACCGGCCGTTCACGGCGGAGGAGGACGCGACTATAGTCTGCGCGCATTCCAGGTTCGGCAACAAGTGGGCCACCATCGCCCGGTTGCTCCACGGCCGGACCGATAACGCCATCAAGAACCACTGGAACGCCACCCTGAAGCGCAAATCGGAGGGAATTCTCTGCGACACCCCGCCGAAGAGATCTTCCCGGCGGGCCGAAACGGCCGATCCGGCCACATCCCTCTGTCTTTCTCTACCCGGGTCGAATGAGAAACCCGTTGATCCGGTAACCCGACCCGATCAAAATCCGCCTGTTTCTCTTCTGCAGTCCGCGCTGCCGCCGGAATCCGAAACGGCGGGGGAATGTACTCCGTTCAGCCCGGAGTTTTTGGCGGGGTTGCAGGAGATGATACGGAAAGAAGTGAGGAATTTCATGTCCGTAAATGTCCGGCTGCCGTGTATGGAGGAGAAGGGCGAAGCAATTCAGAATGCGGCGGGGCGCCGTTTTGGGTTCTGAAATCAGATTTGTTTTACTTCCGCCGGGGCAAAATTCATAAATGTTTCAAAGAATTGTTTCCATAGAGAAAAAAATGTCTAAATCTTTTGAAACATTTTTGAAATTCAGAGGAGAGCATTTTCAAACATATAGTCCTCACCAAACAATGCATGAGAATTGATAATGACACATGAACAATGCCAATTTCAATATCAATTTTGTCATGACTTCTTCTTATTGTGGTGTTTATAAATATCTGTAAATAAAGTAATATCAAGACTTGTTAAGAAGACACATTTTAAGCCATATAAAATTTTTAGATATGCAAAATTGAAAGGTTGAAAGGGTGATTTTTTTGTGACATATGAAGCTTTTTTAAAGTCATTATGGGCGCAATTATTGCTCATTCAATCCTAATTTTATTTGTCTATTTCAATTTACTATGTTCAATTGACATTATTTTAAAAATATTTTATTTTAAAAACTGAGATAGAGTTTAAAAATAAAAATTATTATGCATATTTTAAAATGACATAAAAAACTCTTACAAAAAAGAGGTTATGTTACTATTCTTTCACTCAGTATCAAATAATCAAGAAAAAAAGAAAGTAAATGAATATTGCGATCATATTAATATTAAACAAATAACTTAATTTGGCACGCATGAAATGCAATCTGACGACGTGCGGCATTGACATCACTTTTTTTTTGTGACCTATGAAGCTTTTTTAAAGTCATTATGGGCGTAATTATTGCTCATTGAATCTTAATTTTAATTGACTATTTCATTTTACAATGTTAAACTGACGTTATTTTTAAAATAATTTATCCAAAGATGCCATCGTGCATCATAAGACCGTGGGGTGTGGGCATCGGCAAGGCCCATGTGGCATCGTCGCCAATCGGCAACGCTGCACCCGATGGTGTGGTTTGGTTGGAGGGGATGGATAGGAATCAAGAACAAGAGACGGGAAGGGAAAGAAAGAAATGACTCTATTTGGTTATTTAAAACAAAAGGGAGGGAAGAGATGTAATGATTAATTTACTACTCTCTCCGTCCTAATTTAAATTATCTGTTTAGTTAAACTTTAATCACTTTTGTTACTCATTTTTGTTACTCAAATGATAAAATGGTAAACAACAAACTTAAAGTGAGACAGAAGAAGTATGTTGTAAAATTATTGAGTCACAATTTTTTGAGTGACTGCTAAAACCCCGATTTGGAGAGAAGGAATATAAGGGGAGCGAATGGAATGGAAGACATATTTTAGGTCCCCTTGTCCCCCAAAGTTTGAGACCGAACAAAGTGAGACACATAAATATATATATATATATATATATATATATATATATATATATATATATATATATATATATATATTAAAATATAAAAATTGAAGTGACTGCAATTGCAATCAATTGCTCCTCTTTGGCTCCGCCACTGGACACATTTTCCCTTCCATTCCACGCACCAAAAATACCCTCATGCTGAAAAATTATTAACTTGATACACTGGAACATCAAAACCATTATCGACCAAAACCAATCAAACAAGGGGTAGTTCAACCTAAGGTTTAAAAAACAATCGAAACAGCAGAAAGCATGGTCTACGATGGTGGTTGACAATGGCAACGAAGATTGGCCACTGTAACAGTGGGTTGACAGTGTCAATAGTCATTGGTTGTGCCGACAACAATCAGCAACAATGGTGACGTTTGACCATAGTTGGTTGTCGATGGTCACCAATGATGTCAATGACAGTATTTAAGGATGGAGTTTGTCTACAACATCAATGGACGACGACACTAACAACAGCAGTGCGTTAGTGATGGTTAACAACGATTGTCAATGGCGGGTGGCTACAAATGGTAAAAATGTCAATCGCTTAAGTCGTATAAAGTAAGCCAGTGTTTGCTTGTCACAAGAAGTCAAGAACAATGGTGGGGTTGCAGGTAGTGAAAAACAGAAATGTGTAAATGCTTTCATTATTCTATGAACTACAATGTATTTTCTAAAACTAGAGAAGAGGGACAAAAACCATTTACCTTTCCAAATCATATTTGGTTCTAGAGCAAAATGGACATGAACAGCTGAACAAGAGATGAAAGACAACTTTCATAAATCATAATCTCAGTTAATCACAGAAGCACATTTCACAATCCCCAAACTAGGCAAGCCAAAATTCACTACACATTCCTTCTTACACAATGTTTGGTTCAAGAAATTAGGCTGAAAAAGAATAGAAAATAGTTTTCTTTCATTTTTTCTTACCAAAAAATGTGCAATGTCAGTGAAATCTGGGAATTGCAAATGCAGACATGCAATTTCATTGTTCAGATATCGACTATTGCATAAAGTTTTGATTCTTGTAATAAAGTGTTTTAGAACAGTGGTTATGATTGGGGATGATATGGCACATATGAAACAATAGATGAAAAGTTTAACCTTCAAATGTGCTTCACATAGAGAGACAAATATGTAAAGACAAACACTACATAAAACAAACACAAGAATTTGAGATAGAGAGATGAGTTTAATAAGATCTGATGTTATATGGAGTTCAAAAACCAAAGGATAACACAATTTGATCTCAAATTATCAGACTAATTGATATTATATATAAATATTAAATCCCTAGGAACCTCATTGTGCATTTCCGGATTAGGTCTCAGCCGCCGGGATCTCCTCGCCGGTAGCAGGGGGAGGAGCGTCGAGAGGGTCGCCACTCTCTTCCGATTGTTTACTCTCCTGGGGCGGCAGCGGAGTGGTGGATCTGGATTTGACGGTGTCAAGCATGCGCTTGCTGACCTCCTTGGAGTAGACCTGGAGGGTCTCGATACCGTCATCGCCATCTCGAACGCCGGCGGACCCCCCGGCGACATTGAAGGCCTCTTCTTCGATCCGCTTCGCGATCTCGGAAGCCTCGTCACCGGGAATGGTTCCGTAGCGCTTGGACAGAATGGACGGCGCCGATAGCGTCTCGATGAGGCGCTTGACGACGGCGTCGCGGGTTTTCTCATTCGGCGGCCAGATGCTGAAGGAGAACGTGTCGGGTTTCTTCGGAGATTCCGGAGCAGGGGTTTCCTGAGCCCCCTGGGGAGCTTCGGTCTCGGACATTGTGGAGGCGTTGGTGGCTGCTCCTGCTTGTGGTTGCTCTTCGACTTTATCGGCCATTCTCGAAATTGGGCAAGGAGGAAGAGCAAACGAGATGATATTAAGGAAGTCAAATTTGCCTTTGTCATTGCGGACTTGCCCCAAATATGTAAAAGAAAAATATTTTATTTTATGAAAAAATGATCAAAAATATATACAGTAAATAAACAAAAGTTATCGAAGATAGAGGAAAAAAAGATTGTAATCTATTCCTGGATAGAAGAAGTATCTTTTGTACCATAAATATGTATTTTTCTTCTTAGTTTATTTGTTTAGTTTGATTTTTTGAATCAAATTAAATAAATTTTGAATTTCAGGTACTAACGATCTATCATCTATACTACCTGTTAATATAATGAAATAGAATTTTTAAAGTTTTCAACACGATAAATCTAATAAATATATTATTATACAAATATATCTTATAGTTTTAATTAATTAAAGCTCAAAATTCATCCAACTTGACTCCAAAAATCAAAGGAGTACCAGTTTTGCAGTTGAGTTTCCCTTTTTAGCCTCTCATGCTCATGCACAAATCAAATCGGCCATTTATTCCTTATTTTTGCGCCGCGCGCTCCTTGATCCGGTCATCACTTTTCAAATAGATATAACAATCGATAATTCTTCTTGGTTTTTCAAATCGGTCATTTTGATGTTGGATCATCATGATTTACCTTCTTATCATTTTTCATTGAAGGTGGATGGCCAATGGAATGATGATTTTGTCTTCCATTGTAAAGATATATGTGAGTTGTTCCTCCCTTCACACATTTTATTAGCAGTTGATGTTCATAGAAAGGACGTTAATGTTTTTCACCCACCTTTGAGGGATGTTAATCCCAATGGTTTTTGTATTAGTTTTCCAATGTCCTCTGTTGAAGAACTATATATGTCCCCTGAATTTAATATTTTATCCTATTTGCACCCTACTCAAATAGTCCTTCATGCAATATTTGAGAGCAAGAAAGTGCGGATTACCACTTTAAAATGTTGACTATTAACAATTATTTTGAATATAAAATGAGAAAATCTACGAAAAAGGTTTTACATGTTGTATGGGCAGATAATAACAATTACAAGTGGGCTGTCAGAGCTATTCGCATATTGTCACGTGGTGAAATGTCTCATATTTACAAGTAACACTTGTATGTTGAATGAATATTTGCGCTTGTATGTTCTTAATATAGTAGTCATTATCTTGTTAAATGTTTTCAGGCTTCCCATTTTTATTATCGACAAATACGTATCAGTAGCATTTTGACTAAGATTAGGATATTTTTGTTGGGCCTCAAAATACTACCTTCGTCTCAGTATACAGAGTACCTCGTAATACTACCTTCGTCTAGAGTATATTTTTTCAATTTAACTTTTTTGAATAAAATTGGATAAATTTGAGATTCAATTATTCTCAAGTTGTATTATATATTAGTAAAATGAAAGAAAATTGTGAAAGTTCTCAATTACATAAATATAATAAAAGCATTTTATACTACAGAGTAATATATACATTACAACGTAACATTTTTTTTAATTGAATCTCAAAGTTCATTCTATTTGATTCTAAAAAATTAAACTACACAAATACACTGAGATAGAAGGAATATTTTTTTATATAGAAAGAAAGATATTGATGACCAAAATATTGTATTGGAGATTCTTGGGGTCAAAATTAGCAGAACAAAGAAGGATGAAGGAAGCAATATGCTCTGTGTGTATATATATATAGAAGTACAATATATTTAAACAATTCCACGCTCCATGATAACCAATTAGCACAAAAATGCTAAACAAATAAAGCATGAACGTACTATGTGTGCTTTTGTGTTTCACCGGTTATGAAAACGGTTTGAACCGCTGGGGACTTTCCTCTTGCTTGGCATGAACGCCGCCGACGGAGTGGCATTATCCGGCGATGACTCCGGTGGCTGCCACCTCTGCTTCATTGTCATTTTGCGCACATGAAGATGATGATGACGGCGATGATGAGAGCCGGGGGTGGTGGTGATGGCGCGGTCAAGAACACGCATTGTGGCGCCATATTCTGCAGGGAGTAGCAACAACAGAAACAGCAGCCATGAATCCCATGATATAAGTGCCGTTGCCATTTTAACATTAATTGTACAATATGATCAATAGATGTTCTTCAAACTTCAAGGGCCTTAGCTTGATGAACAAATTATAAAAATGGGGTTCTTTTATTTATAAGTTCTTCATTGGTTTGGACAAATATATATAATATTGGAGGCCGGGGATATATGATACTCCATCCGTCCCCCATAGATCTTTTCAATAGCCCTTTTTCTTTGTCCACAATAGATCTTCTCATTTCATTTTTTAACAATTAAAATACCATAACTACCTCCACTTACTTTATTTATTACACCTCACCCACCTCATTTAATACACTCCACCCATATTTCATTAAGGTTATTATGGTAAACTTTTACTTTTTTTCAACTCTCCTTAAATATCACCAAAAGTCAAAATGAGAACATCTGAGGGACGGAGGGAGTATGATATTGGGGCGGTGCACATGCCGGGCAGTGTCCGTACAAAGACCGGCAACCAAAAAGAAGGTAACAAAAGAGAGTACCAAATCAACCCGGCAAACAAACATACTTACATACATATCTAGTGCCTCATTGGGTTGGTGTGTGTGTATGTGTGTGTGTGGATGAAGATTAGTTTTCACTACTCCGGTCTCCGTAGATAATTACCCTTAGTCAAAGTCTATTTAATTAGGAGTGTATTAGTCTATGATTACCTTTGGAGTGGGTGGGTGTTTTTTTGTATGTTCCCCTTATGGCCATTCTCTTTGGCACATTTGTGTATGTGTTACTTTGGCAATAGATTCAACGTTTAACTTATTGATTTATAAGTAGTAGTGTGAGAGTTTCAATTTAATCAAACTAAAAAACGGACATATCTCATACATTCCTCTCTAAAGTAGAATTTTTTACGTAAATTAGTGATGATAAAAAACAAAAGGTGACATGTCAAATACAAGACAGCTTTAAACAGTTTTAAACTCAAAAGTAGAGTCCTTAAGTGTAATTTTGTGCACTTTATGCCTTAAAAAAATATTTCCCTCGTTTTTAATTGCTTTGCTTTCACTCCCAAACATGAAGTTACCTTTATAGACAAATTTTACATTTAATAAGGCAATACAAGACACTCGAGTTCCAATTTCAAAATTATTTTGACTAATAATTCCCCCTTTTTCTCTAGATAATTGAAAAAGTTTGGAGCATGCTTTGTCTACTGAGAGGCTGGAACATGCTTATTATTTCTCAACCTTTTTCTCATTCTTTTTTTTTTATATAAAATGAGTAGAAAACAATCATGACAAGACAAAACAAAGACATGAATTTAAAAAAATGAATAAAAAAAGTGTTTTTTTTATAAAAAAATGAATTTAAAAAAGAAAATGAAATAATTGGAAAGAAACAAGTAAATGACATTTAAACAAATCAATACAGATCCTAGGACCTGCAGTATTAAAAGTTTCAGTGTACACATTCAAACTTTTTTCCTTCCAATTGTTTTTCACTGATTGTGCCCACAATTTTGATGTACCATACCACCCAACACACAAAATAAATATGAATACCAAAAAAATAAAAGTAAAAAATAAAGGTGAATACTACATGGAATATGGCATATATAATCACCTTCATATTACAAAAAGAATTGGCAATATTGTCAAGTGTTATACACAATGTGAGAAACAATATGGTCATATATCTAAGAAACCACACCAGAAAACCCTATACGTAGAATCGCCTAACTTGGCATTACATCAAGCTCCAACCAGAGGTCGGACTTCCTTGAGTATTCACACTCCTACTTTCGAATCTTCAAAATAAGAATTGGGTATCTCGGGTTGAGATGAGAGCATTGATACGCACTTGAACTGTAACATAACACCACACAAATCATATGAATAACAATGTCGCACGCAAAGAAAACAAATCACTTTGCACAGAACAAGAATTTTTTGTATTGACAACACACCTTATGCTGCTTGTATTTTTCCCTTATTGCTGTTAAGAAGCATCCCCTTCTACTTAATTGTAAGTCATGTATGATCAGAACACAATCTTTCAAATCAGATGCTTTGTATCCTGCATATTTTTTGAGTGCTTGATTCTGTAATACACAAAAAACTAAATTAGAGCTATATGGGAAATTACATTTTTGGTCATGCAGCAAAGACCATTTCCATATATGGTTGTGGAGTTAATTATTTTCGCCTAATGTGTGGACTTTAGGAACGAAACAATCAAAATGCAATCTCAATTTCATATTGTATGGAATGTTTGTTCATTATTGTTGTCTTTAAAAAAATGAATTTATACGCATTTTATTTTTTATTGTCAAATGAAATCAGGTAAACATAAGAGTAGTCTGCTTTTTTATTGGGCAAAAGAAGAAAGAATAATGAGACCAAGTGTGAGAATGACCCTAGCTACAACACCATTTTCTGTCTAAATAAGCAATGTGCCCTAGAAATGTGCAAGGTAATTAAGACAATATACTTGCCCAGGGATGCAGGGTAGGTTCAAGAGTGAATTTTGAAAGGAATGTAACTGCGGCAGCTACCAAAGAAGGTAAGAATTGAAGGCAGCTATAGTCCAACAAGCTCAACTCGGCTAAGTAATAACCCAAGAACTCAAACTGCAAATTTTGAGTCTGCAAATAACAAAGACGGGCATATTCATCAGTACGGGTACAAACCCATTTTGGAAAGTCCAAATCCAAATCAATTGAAATCTGCAAAACTTACTTCAAAATGTCCTTGAGCAACACGAGTTAGTCTCCTACATAAGAGCAAAAAATAATAACACCATGTATCAGCCAAAAAGGCTTATATTATTGCATAATAGCACAAACGTACGACTTCAAAAAATGAAGAATAATAACTGGTCCAAACCTAAGAAATGTCTTGGTAGTCGGACATCCCATTTCAAACTTAAGGAACTTGAGTATATATGCCTCCATTTTCACAACTTCATCCTTGCTGTAAGTGTTATCCGTAATGTAACAGAAGTCTTCAACGTGCGGGGGACTAATCTCCTCGTACTTCCTGTTAATGACCAAAAGAAATACCCATCAGAATCTACATTAAAAAAAACAATCCCACAAAACTACATGATTATCAGAAGCTTAATTTGAACTATGAATCTGTGTGCTTACGCAGCAATAAGCATGGAAGAAACACCCAAAAGCTGAAGATTTTGACGAGTGATAGCTTTCATCGACAAGAACCTATCGACGTACGCAACAGCAAGATAGAGAGTATCAGAAAGAAGTTTGTATTCCTCTGCAACTTCAACCAACCAATCTACCAGAATCCCTCTCATATTTGCACTTATATCTCTTTGGACCTTCTCGATATAGTCAGGCAAGGGTCTTCTTCCATCTTGCATCTGAGTTGCAAAAAAACCTTAAATTGCTTAATCCCAAACCCTAAATATAGAAATTCAAACAAATCTAAAAACCCATAGAACAATCAAGATCAAGAAAATGTCTTTCCCCTTTTCTTTAAACATTGAGAGAGACATATCATAGTATCATACCATTCACATAAAGCAACTAAATATTAAAAAAAATACCATTAACCCAATTTTATGCATACACATTCAAATCATTGAAATCGAAACCACATCAAAAGATTCGCCATTCACCTCCAATTGGCGCATGTACTCATAAATCTCAGAGACATAGGCGGCACACATCTGGGGGTCACTGGATTTCGCATCCACGTCCGTTTCATTCTCGGCGATTTTAACCTTCTCCTTCGCCCTTCCCAGTACATCCTTCAAAACCTTGCTCTTACCCTGCTTGGACTTGGGTTTCGGGTGCTCGAATACCCGATTCAGAACCGAATTCGGGTCGTTCTTGATCTCGCCCAGAACGACCCTCTTCTTCCTCTGGTGCTGCAGTTCAGTCGCCATCGATTCCGCAGCCCTCTTCTTCGCCAAGCGCGTTACCCTCACGCAATTCTCCTTGTCCGCCATTGCTGAAGGCTCGAAATCTCAGTAATATGGTTCGCAGAGTAGCGGATAATTGCTGGATTGTTGGAGTAAATTTGGGGGATTTCTTGGGGATGCATATAATCAGTGGCTTCTGAGAGTTTTTCGCTCGAACATTTTAATTTTGCGCGCTGCCGTTTTTTGGGGTTTCGTTCGTTTCGAAATTTGTTCTTGAAAAAGGAAAATGAGAAAACGGGTTAGAACTGTTTCTGGAGTTAGGTTTTTTTCCCATTTTATATTTTGGGTCAAAGATAACTTTGGCGAGTAAAACTTACAGAGTACGCACATTGTTTGGATATATACTGTATTAAAAGTTTGGAATTAGACTGAAAGACAAAAATTGGAATGGAATACAATGAAAGAAACAATGTAAAATATTCATATTTTATCTCAAATTAAGGTTAGAAAATGTAGAAAATAATGATGGGAAAAATATTTTTGTATTGAATTATCTTAGCAATTACTCCCTCCGTCCCGGAGTATTAGTCCACTTTTGACTTTTGAAACTGTTCATCTAAGCACTTTGACTCATCAAATTCTCTCAATGTGTAAGCCTAGATGTAGTCATGTGTGATCTTGTTTGATTTGTCTTAACATATAGATTATTAATATACAATTTCTATAATTTTTTAATATACAAATTACAAGATAAAATAGATTAAAGAAGTGTATTGGATGTTGTGTAAAAATGAAAGTGGACAAATACTTAGGGACGGAAGTAGTACAAAAATTCAATTATCTTTTTATAATAAGGGGCAAAACAAATTTGTTAACTTGTATTCATACTATAATTTTATTTCTTACGCCTGTTTCTATCGTAACACCCTTATCAAGCTGAAGCACGAGGATTACGAATGCCAACTTGGATAACACATAATCAAATGATCTTTGTCCAAGTATAATCTCAACACTTCAACAAATAAATTTTCTTCTTCTTCGATATAGACGCCACTATTTTTGAATCCGTTGAATAATCAATCGAGTAAAAGAACATCATTCTTTTCGAACCTTCACCGAAATCAAACGAACAAGAAGGCGCACTCTTGTCGTTTGGTGGTGGTAAGAAATATACTCCCTCCATCCCATAAAACATTTCCTGTTTCAAAAAAGGCGCACTCTTAAAATGAGTAATTTTGGTGTTATTTTCTAATTTTGCCCCTACTTCTTAAAAGAGTAGGATGAGATGTGTAGAATAGATTAGTCATAATTAAAATTAACACTAAAATTACTAATTTTAAAGCCGTGCCATTTTTGAAATAGGAAATGTTTTATGGGACGGAGGGAGTAGATTAGAGGAAGAACGACGGCCTGGTGAACGGCTAATGGCAGTGCCACCCGCCAAGAACGAAAATAGAAAATTTTTTGTCACTAAGAACTTTGATCTGATACCATGAAGAAAATAATAGAATGAGAAAATGTATTTCTGTATTGAAATTAGCAAACTTTCTTTTTCTAACTCTCTTTTTATAGGATGGTAAAACAAATTAGCAAACTTTTATTCTAACTATGATTCTATTTCTTCTAAAACAAGAATCAAACTAAAATAGGAAACACAAAACCATGTCCTTTTGAGGTTCGGTCCCTTCTTAAGCCTCTTTCTGTTGTAACAAAATATCAATAAATTCTATATTTAATAACAAAACACATTCTGAAGGGATGAGCCTCATCGACGTAGTAAGGTCCCTTCAAAATTGACTGGACGATCAATTGAAAATATTTAGTATGTCACATTTTTATAGTACAATAATCTAATTTTAAGATTAAAATATGACATGCCCATTTTGAAGATAATGACATATTTTGCTCATATTTTGTGTTTTTTATTAATCTATACTATAGAACTTTGTTTGCCCTTTTATATTCGTAAGAAATAACTATGATAAAGAATAAATTAGTGTCTTTTTTTAATAAAAAACATTAATTTTTTAAAAACAAATAAAATTTAGATTAACAAGTCTCTGATTTTATTTATATATATATATATATATATATATATATATATATAAGTTCGAATTTACTGTTAATGTGGTTTATTTGATAAAATATTAATTATTGAGAGAAAGATTTTCTTAGATTTATGAAAATCTTTATGGAAAGATTTTTAAAGATTTTAATTACTCGTAAGGATTTAGGATTTGATGCCAATTTCCAGAAGGCGTAATAGTACTCCTATCCTAAATACTAGGGCTAATGAAGGATTGAAGATTTGTACGGAGTATCTTATTTTCACTAATCCATTTCTTCTTAGGGTCCGTTTGGTATACGAAATTGACAGAATTGGAATTGAATTGAAATTGAGATTTCATGGTATTCAATTCCATAGAATTGAATTCTTTCAATTCTGATTCATTTTTTGCACTATCAATTCCAAATCAACATACTTCGTAATTTTTATACTACCAAACACCAAAATTGGAATTGAAGTCCTCAATTCCAATTTCATAGTTTGAATTCCATGTATCAAACAGGACCTTAAAGAATTGTACGTTTTCTGAATTGGGATTCCAATCCCATAAGATTCAATTTTCGGTATAGTCATTTTCATTACAAATAGAAGAAAAATGTTAGTGGTATACTTATCATCTCCATTACTCAATCTTAAGTGTGAAAAAAAGTTGAAAAATAAATAAAAAATCAACAGTTATGATAAAAAAAGACTTCATATACAGATGATATACTTCCTTTGGGCTCCATCCCAAATAATCCAATCAGTTCTGAGTATAATTTAATTGATTATTCCATATAATATAATATTACGTCACATCATGATTTATAAATTTTTAATATAGTTTTAATATACTTTAATTTGTGAACCAAATTGTACAATAAAATAATTTATACTTTATATTTGTACTCTTTATTTTTATATCAATTTATAAATAACATAATTTTCAAAAAGATTGCCTTTTGCATGTTATTTGAAGTAAGACGATTGTATTGAAAGAAATCATGACTCGGGAAAGAGTATGAGAAGAAGTTCCTCGATTCATACCGAATAACAATGGTGTAACTGATGGCGTTAGAGGATGATGATGTAACTATATAGGCCATCTTTAATTTATATTATAACCAAGTATGAGAAGAAGTTAGTTGATTCATAACGAAGTATATATTTTTTTCTAATTTGTAACTAAAGTGTACAAAATTTTTTAAAATATGTAATATGTAATTAAAGTGTGTATATACGAAGCTGGTCAAAACTATTTATAAGTTGGTTTTTATTTTTAAATCACCTGATGACATGTTTCTGTATTCCTAAAAGATGACTTATAAGTTAGAAAAATAAAATAGGTCTTACGAACTTATTTTTAAATTTGATTTTCTATTTTGACCAGATTCTTTATCAAAACTATCTCTCAGCATTTATTAATATTTTTAAACAAACTTATCTATCACTTAAGCCTTTTTACTTCCACAAAAAACTATTTAACTTGGAAACAATTTATAACTAAATTAAAAACTATTTATCAGCAATAACCTAATAAACATCAGTACAAAGAAACACTCCAAAAAAACACATAGTTTTAGAAACGTTTGTTATCTCGAGAATAATGTAAGAACTGAATATGCAGTCAAAGGAAAGAATTAATGCTGATTTACTTTTACTACATACAAGATTGATAATACTCCACCAGAACATAAATGTTATCAACATCGTCATCAGATAAGATCATCTGGCTGGGTAAGTGGTGGGGTTGTGAGCTGAGAAATGAATGCCTCTAGGATTGCTCGTTCCCTTTGATATGTTGTCGATGGGAATAATGAAACGTCGTCGTCTGCACCTATCAAGTTTTCAATAACAAAAAATCACTAAAATAATAAAATCGACTATATATGGATGGCAAGAGCCACTAATAAGGGTTGTGTTGGGGACATCACTTGAACATAAATGTGTTGCAGACACACAAACGACAATTTTGTATGTGTGTCTGTAACACAACTTTTGTGTTAGAAGGGTACGTCAAGCTTTATTATACTAATAATCATTGAACTCATTAATAATGGAAAGTACTACCCTTGTCTCATAAATTTGTTTAAATATGAAAAAAATGTGCCTTTACTTTATAATTAGGTATGATATGATTTGTATAATAGATGAGTCATAATTAGAAAATAATTTCAAAATTATCTATTTTAAGGCACGATTTTTGTGGTTTTTGAAAAGTTTAATTTGGAAGAGAAAGAATAAAGTTAACCACCATCATATAATACCATCGTGACACTATTTCATTTGAAATACCATTGTGACACCAATTCAACGATCTGGGGTGGAAAAATTTACGGTGGAGTTAGGTTGTATGAAACGTCTATTTTAGAAATATAGTACTGTAAATTTAATTTCTCAATTATAACAAATGGTGTAACTCTGTAATTTTCCAATAACATTACGGATACAATTAGAGCAAGACATTGATAATCTAGCTAGCAATTAGTAGGTAGTACGAGTAGAGCAATGCTAGGGGTACACCTTTGGTGTACCCAAATGTACACCACCCCCTTTTCCACCTCACATTTTTATTTGATTTTTATTTATTTATTTATTTTTTTAAATTTTTTTATTTTTTTAGTGGATAAGGAGGGGGTGGGGGACATATGGGGTACACCTTTGATATACCCATGGTATACCCCTAGCATTTTTCAGTACCACTAATGTTTAGGAAAACTTTTTGTTTTGGCTTAGAAAATAGTGGGCCGGGGTGGGCCGGAAGGAGTAATAATAAAAAAAACGTACGTATATATACCTGGTTGGGGCTGGGGTGGGGCGGAATGGTGAGGTGGGGTCCAGGGCGCGTCATCAACATGAGGAATCCTACCACCGCCGGCAGAGGTGCTACCACCGATCACGTGATTCGGATCACCACCGCCGCCCCCTAACATTAGCTCATCGCCGTTTTGCATGTGATGAAGCTGCGGCATCATCATCGTCATCGTCATCCCCATGCCCTCCACGCTCCCCCCTCCTCTTGCATCCCTGTCACATTACCATACCATCAAAAAAAAAAAAAAAAACGGGTACGATTTCGTTGACACTGGTCACTTACGATGTTTCGTTCGTAAAATTGATGGTTGTTAATTCTTAATCCCGATAAGTCCTTACACGGTCCCAACTCGAACCCCAAAAATTTAGTGACGTACTTTAGGGGTTTACTGGCGAAATTAGAGATAGAAATCATCAATATCACGATAAACAATAGAGAGATGCTTGCTCCGGATCAGACACCTAGTGTCATCGGAACTACACCAATTGGAAATGAAAATGATGAGCCCCGTCTCAAACCCGGTCGGACGGTCACTAAGACGAGTTATATTATATTTTAATCGCAGATTGGTGATAAAGAGTGTAGCCTGCACCTGATACTTGCAGAGACCCAATGTTTAGCATAGTTGTCTCAGAAATCGAACTCGGGTCTTACCTCATTGACACCTCTTGTCTTACCAACTACGCAACACCCAACGACAATACAAATAGGAAATGGAGGAGAGATATGTGATATACATACATGGCATTGGAATCAAGAAAGTTGAAGATTTGGGACTGTGAATCAACTCTGTCGTCACCCGGGGCCGGAAGCAACCAGTTCTCCATCACACCATTCGGAATAATTCCATCCGTTGAACCGAACTGATGATGCTGTCCATCTCCACCGTTCATTATTATTCCCCCCACCGAAGCTGCGTGTGCGCGACGGATGGGATCACTACAATTCTCCTCCAAAAATCTCTGTTTCGCATCAAAATTAACATCATTAGTGGAGCAATTAACGACTGCCGCCAGGAGTACAGAGTGGGAGATTATGGCTTAATTAATCATCGTAATTAAAGAAAAACAGTGATTACTCTGCGTTGTCGAACTTGGTTAATGTTGTGCTCGAATATCCTCTCCCTATACTCCGCCTCGCCAAAAGTTGTTATCTCACACGGATCACATTCATACACTCTGTCAACATCCGTATAATTAGCTGGATTAAACACGCGCTAATTGCATTTTGATGAATCATTAAGAGATTGATTAATTAATAATCAATTTAATTAAGCTAATAACAATCAATATGATTAATTACCTCAGTCGCTGCTCCACTTGCTCTAGCCTGGACTTGCATTTCGCAAGCTGTTGTTGAATTTCCTGTGTTTTTTCAATAATCATTAATATAAAAATTCACACATATATATAAAAAGAATACCAAATAAACGTTGCCGGGTACAAATAAATAAATAAATAAATACATTAAGCAGTAATTCGTTGTACCTCCAGTTGGGGGTCGGCACTGTTCATCGGGCTTTTGAAATTAATATTTGATCACAAAATTAAAAAAAAAGTCAGTCAACATCCTTCACATGATACTCTATACTTCATCAATTTTTATATTTTAAATAGGACTAAAATATAATGACTTTCCCAATATAGGACCATATGTTTTTATTTTCTAATGTAAGACTTTTGGTCATTATCAAGTAGTCATTATTCACCTAAATGTCCATCATTGCTAGATATTATTCCTTCCACTAGGTCATTATTAAATCCTATTTAAGGAATAAAAAAGTTTAAGTTCTACATTAGGAAAGTCATTATGTTTTTGTCCTATTTAGTGCAAATTTCACTATTTTAAATGTCTATATTTATTTATTTATTTATTAATTTATTTATTCGATTTTGAATGTATAAAAAAGTGGACATATAATCTTTATTATTATATGGGTGCACCTGACTGTGTGACTCTTCAGATCTGATGTTTCGTATTTCAACTTGGCCAGAGCCCTTTGCAGAAACTATATATACATATATATAATAGCATTTAATATTATTAAGGTGTTATTATCCGACCTACTTATTAAATACGTAATTCAAAAATACTATTAATTGTGAATAATTAATGAAGGAATTTTTGAAAATGTACCTCTTGGTTTTGTAGACTTCATATAGTGCGCGTGCAAAATAATGGATGGATCCCATCAATATATATACCATTAATTAATCAAAGTAAATGTTAAAGAAAAAAGGAAATGTTAAATGAAGAACAATATTTTGTGCTAATTAAAAAATATAATCAAAGTATAAATTGAGTAAATAATTATGTACCGGCCTCGCTCCTGCTTGGGAAGATTTACGTATCGGACTATAATGTCTTCAATGCTTTAACCGGATCCACCGAAGAACCAAAAAATCATCAAAACAACAACAATATACATTTAAAAATGTCACTAATTGGGACAAAACATTCATAAACAAACTCAAATACTAGTGTATGAGTGAAGATCTGGTGTCACACAATCTGTCTAGTCTACAGATTTGTCGATATTTGGCACAGATTGCAGGATACCCGATTTTGATTCAATAGTTTAGCGTATCGAGTTGTACATTTATACCTTTTATTGTTACTGGAGAAAACGCTCGGTTTGCCAGAAGGGGAAAACATGATGAGGGCGACATCAATTTCACAGAGAACAGAAAGCTCATAAGCTTTCTTAATCAGACCGTTTCTCCGTTTGGAATAAGTGACTTGCCGATTAGTTGTATTCTCTATTTTCTTAATCTCCAGCTTCACTCTTCCCATTTCTCTTCTATTTATGCTCTCCCTTCTTTCTTTCTTTGCTTCTACCTACCTACACAGTTTCTTAGCTTTTCCGAGGCTCTGCCTCATCGTTAATAGCTAAATATAGAAAATATCATTGATATTTCCTAGGCCGTCGGCGAGTTTATCTTTACTTTTAAATATTATAAATCGTAGAAACGTACGCTAAAAGATAAAACAGTCTCGTGTTACATGCTAGTGATGACTGCTGAGTAAATATAATGATACAAATTAACATAGAAAACATTACTGTTATTCAGATAGACGAGAAACTTCAATAAGGTAAACTACAGATGTATTTAGTAAGTTTAATTTGTTGCATTATTTACCCTCAAACATTGTACAAAGTGTATATTTTCACTATGAACTTTTAAAAGTAGACTATTAGTGTCTATACTTTTTTATAAAAATGTATTTTACCCCAAACTCTTTATAAATTTTATGTTTTTTCCCAAGCTTTTTAAAGTAGTGCATTTTTCGTCTATATACTATTCAAATATTGTGTGTTTTCCCCTTGAATTTCAAAAATGCACCTTTTCGAAATGGCGCATGGTTTTTTTTTTAAAAAAAAAGAAAATTTCTTTTACTCGAACAACATATATAATGTGTTTATGCAAACATGCTTTAGTAAAAAGATCAAAAAAATTAACTTGGAGGACAAAACTGCTAAATGCCTGTTTTTCAAATCTAAGTCTTCTCACGCCTCAATTGAAATGGCTGTTGGAGTTTGATGAATATGTCATTGATAAATTTTTTTTCAAGTTTAGTTAAAAAAAGCTACCCAACAAAGACAAACATAATGTGTATAATTTCTTGAAATAAACATATGTTTATTTCAGTGGCTAATTTTAATCCACTTTATTGAATCAATTATTTGTAATAACCGATTATACTTTATTGAATCGGTTATTACAAATAATCGATTCAAATAATATATATTCCCTCCGTTTCTCAAAAGAATTACTCTTTTGACTTTGAAGAAAAATAAGGAAGTGTTAAATTGTAGTTGACTTTCCAATTTTGCCCTTGATGTGATGAGTAAAAGTAAGATGTGATAGTTTAGTTGTTAGTGAAAAAGTATGATATGATAGGTAAGGTATGAAAAAGTATGGGTAAAAGTGGTTTTTTAATAGAAAATGGAAGTGTTTTAAGAAAAACAAAAAAATGAAAGAGGAAGGGTTTTAAGAAACGGAGGGAGTATATTTTTTAAACCGCTTATTTCTAATAACCGGTTCAATAGGCTATTAAATTTGTTGTTACAAATAATCGGTTTAAAAGAAATCAGCTGGCAAAAATGCTAGCCCCATTTGCACGGATTTTTTTTGAAAGCGATATAAGTGGGGTAGTCGATTTGTTATTTCTTGTAGTAGTGCATTTTCATTAATGACATTTTCATCTAGCTCTAGCACTCGTGTCAACTGAGACCTCAGGAATTTTTTTTGACATTAGTCGCTATGTTATTCAAGATATTTTTTTCTTCTTATTCGAGTTTAGTAAAAGACATTATTCAACCAGTTCAATATTAATTTCTACCTTGCACCATTTTTCAATTAATTAAGGTGTTCTTTTGAAAGTTTGGCCAACTCAGCCCAAACCACAGACGGGTAGCTCATTTTTGCTAAACCCACATCCAAACAACCAGAAACAATCAAACCTGGACCGGACCTGCTCTGATACCATGTTAAAATTTGGGATGGGTATGGACAACTGGATTGGGTAATAAGACACTTGGGTTGAACTGCATTAAAAGATTGAATCCAATCGATTAGTTAGTTCAACTCAAGGGCTTATATACCGGTTTATTTTCTTTTCAAGTTCCGATGTGGAATACTCTTTAACAGGCACACTTTATGAAAGTATATGGACTAATGATGTAGTTTTGAAGGGTTGGATGAAAAACATGAAATTTATAAAGTGTTCATTAGTAAAGCACACACTTTATGAAAAGTATATGGACGAATGATACACTTTTAAAAGTTCAGGGTGAAAACATGTATTTTATCAAATGTTTAGTGGCAAAAAACATAAAAAAAACTCTTTTTTAGCATATCTTTTAACGATGTAAATATAGTGATATTTAAGCAAATATGTTAGGAATACAAAAATAATAATAGGAGTATGAGTTATATACTTCATCCATTTCTTAAAACACTTTCCTTTTCATTTTTTTCTCTTTCTCTAAAACAGTTTCACCTTCTATTAAAAAATCACTTATACCTTTACTCATTTTTACTCTATCTATCACATCATACTTTTTTACTAATAACATATCCATCACATCTTACTTTTATTTTAGCTAAAAGTCAAAATAGAAATGATTTATTAAAACGGAAAGAGAGGAATTTTACTGCCTTCTTCCTGAATTTTTTCTTCTTTTTTTTATTTTTTTAGTCAAAGAGTAATATTTAGTAATTTAGATTTTGTTTAGTTTATAGTAAAGGATCTCACTGTTTATCTAAAAAATGTCAAAACAATAAAGTTTTTTTTTTATAGAACGGAGGTAATAGATGATAAATTGAGTAATAGATTAAATACTCGGTAAGTTTGAGTGTGGAAACAAAGTTATTACATACGTACGTGGGATGATATGTGTGATGGATCGGAGTACAGCTAGCCAGGGGTGGGTTTTGGCGGTATCAGGCCGCCGTTCAAGAAAGGTGACGACGGTTACAAAGGAGATCGACACCTCGGCAGAAATGGGGTCATGTAGTAAATTCACAAAATGGGAGGCACCGAGTACTTTTCTAAATAGTCCTCGATAAACTTTGATTACCTGTCGTGTAAAATAATTTACAATTGAGATTTACAGAGTAAGTTCTAAGAAGACTAAGGGGCTGTTTGTTTCAGCCTCTTAATGGTTCAGATGTCTGAATGGTTCAGCACCTAATGGTTCAGACTGTTTGTTTCAGCCTCTTAATGGTTCAGAAGTCTGAATGGTTAAGAGATTTGCCTCTGAATGGTTAAGTATTATACAGAGTTTGAATGGTTAATACCTCTTATCTGAATTGATCAGACATTTTCCTCTGAATAGTTAAGCAATATACTAGCTCTTAATGGTTCAGACCTCTTACTGGTTAAGCACTTAATGGTTCAGACCTCTTACTGATTCGACACTTATTCATTCAGAAGTTGCCAAACAACCCCTAAGTCGTTTAATGGCGTGATAATTAATTAAACTATTTTGATATATTTATTATCTTAACTTAAAGTAATTTTCAAAATAATCATTTCTATACCATTTCATATAGAATTAAAACAACCATTAATCATACATAACTCTTGAATTATTATTACAAATTTGTCGAAATATGTAAAGTTTGAATCAGACACACTTCCTTAATTGGAAAAGATCATTTTGAGAAATTACTTTAATAGAAATAACAAATTTGAGAACTTACTCTAAATTTAGATGATAAAACAAATACCAAAATACCTCAACTTTATTGATATTTAAGTAACATTTTTCATGAGGGAATATTTAGAGAATAAATCTATACTCTTTCATTCAGTCCAAAAAACCTTTCATGATTGGTCAAACATTGATATACTTTGACCACAAATTGTGAGAAAAGTATATTTAATTATAATATACATGTGACATAATTGTGTTAATCTTAGGACATAATTTTGATACATCAAATTTTTATATCAATTCTTTATTTAGATTATGCTAAATTTGTAGTCAAAGAATGATATTGTTTGATCAAAAAAATCAAAATTGAAAAGATTTTTAGAATCAGAAAGAGTATAAAATATCATGTAAGTAATCAAACTTTATTATAGAGTAATTTAGACAACAAAAGTGACCATTTTGAAAATATCTTCTACATTATGTATTGTTTCAAGAGTGAATTTTATCCGGCTACTTTTCATATCCACAGAACAGAAATTTCCCTTAAAACGGCCCAAAAGATATATTGTTACTTCTTTGGCCCAAGCTTAATGATATACTATAAACCAATAATAAGATTAATGTGTGAACTTATGTTATTCCTAATCTAATTCGGCCCATACGGGTATATAGGATGGTTAGGAAGCCATTCAATACCATTGCCCAAAATTTGTTTAAAATGTTTCACAGCTCATAATCCGTAATATATTGGCTATTTGTATTAGGAAAAATTTAGAGAGACATCTGTTTATAATGTATTCCTTATTTAATTTATGAGATTCTAATTTAGTTCACAGAAATAAAAACATTACTTTTTGAAAGAAAATATAAATATTGTATACCTAAAAAATTATTTTCATCTTCAAAAGTGTAGTATGGAGTAATATTTACTATTTATACGTGGAGTAATATTATACTCCGTATGCTACAATTTATCTCTTTCTCTTTTTTTTTTTAATTTCTTCAATTAACGCAATATAAATCCAAATATTATATATGAATTAAAATATTTTTTAACTAAAAATATCCAGTAATATAGTACAAATTTTTATTTTTTGTAATAGTTTATTGAGTCGTTGACCCCAGTTTGACCAGTTTAAAATGGATCTTTTTATGAATCTAACTATATACAATGCTAAGATGATAAAATGAACAGTGTTCCCGCCCAAAATATTGGGCCGGGTCACTGACAAAATGGGCCTGTCGGGTGGAGAAGCTGGCCGCTTTTTATTGTTTAGGGTTTTTACCGGTACTTCTTTTCATCCTTTCAAATGACGTGGCCGCTGCTCTCTCCTCTTCGAATTGAGAGCGCGTATAGGAGAAACTAATAGCCGGTCGCCTTTCTGTCTCCACTCAATCCATAAAAGGAACACAGGAACAGAACTACTTGCCGGAAACCATACACGGGGCTAGGGTTTTGAACGTAGCACTTCTTCAACGATTAGATCTTGCTAGGATGAAGGCAAGGGAAGGCCATCCAGGTACGTGCACATCTTCGATTATAATTTCAGTTTGATTTTCCATCCAAAAGAATGGCAAAGCAGGTAGGGTTTTGACCGAGATGAATTTCGGCAGCCATGGACAATATATCTTCTAACCGAAGGTTATTTTGTTGCTGCAACTTTTTTTCTTGAATTCATTTTTTTGATTTGCTCTACTTAAGAGAGAGCACACTCCCGCAGGCTGCAGGTATGTAGATTAATCCCCCAATTACAGCAGCTTTTTGGTCGCCCTCTTCCGAAGAAGCTAGGTGAGTTTGAATGCATTTTTTTTTATCAATTTTGAACTTCCTACCGTAAAGGTTTCACCAAACTTGGCGCAGGTCTAGAGATTCATTTTCAAGACAAATGTTCATCCTTGCCTTTTCTTCATTTTCTCACATTTTCTTTTGTAGGTAGATTAAGATTTTCAAATTATAGGTCTAAAATTTCATATTTTCCAGATTACTAGGTTCCAAATTGGAACCAGGTTAGAGACACCATGGAGACCTAGAACTGGCGAGTCACGACTGGGGAAAGCGGACAACCATTAATGGAGAGAAGCTAGGAACGACTTCTCGACAACGGTATAGCAACCATATTTGAGGTAATCAAGTTAATTGGAACTACCTTGCACTTCATTCTTTACAAACAGAGGAATGAATTAACTTTACTTTTTACATAATTTTTATTAGAAATTTAATTGTAATGTTTTTCAAAAATTATGGAAAAGTAATATAGGGATGGGGCCGAGTTTGCTAAACATTGTAAGAATGAATACACAAAATTTATTGCAGTTTTAGATTTCTACAGCTTCTAGAGTTGTTAATGTTCTTAGAAATGCTACATTGTATATCATTATATTCCCCACCTGCATGCTAAATTTACTGGAGTGGCTAATGTGCTCCTTGCATAATATTTCCGGATGAAAAGGCTATACGATACGATGTAATGTTTTGATACACTACTCCCTTTAGTGAGTATATACTAGGCTTTTGATGTTAATTGTGTACTGAAGCATATATGGAGAAAATTAATACAATGAAAACTTGGTTTTCAATTATGTGATCATTAAAGCTTTGTGTGGCTATTCAGGTTTTCTCTTGAATAAAAAAATTATCAACACATTTTGGGACCTCATATTGCTGGTCAGAAGCTTTCTTCTCACTTTATGATTATTTTGTTATCTTACTTGGGATTACTTATTGATGATTTTTTTTCCATTTTTCTTTGTTTTCTTTTCACAATAATTGGATTTTTATTAGTGGGTATATATGTAAAAAATAAGCAATATTCCTCATGGTAATTTGCTTTAAATGTGTCTGATCGTTCTCTTGATTCCTAAATGGCCTCAAGTCCCAACTTGCAGCGTGATCTTCTTTGCCTCAATGCCAAATTGCTTTATCTAATCTATGTACTTTAATGAATGCAGGTTGCAAATGGACTGAGCTCTTACTTTGGAAGTTAGCAAGCAGCGTTCTTCAAGCTAGCGTCTTTGTTATTTGTTAATACTCTGTTTCATTTTTTTCTTCTTAATGATTCTTTTTAAAATGTTTACTTCTTAGTGATGTGGGTTGAACAAATCATATAATAGGTTGATGGTGAGGTCTTTCTTCAGTACCTAAAATTTGATAGAGCATATTATTGAAGTTGGAATAGTCTCTTTTAGAGTATCATTAGATTTTCTCTAGAATTTTTATCCATGCTAATATTGTTTGGATAATACTTTGTATTTTTAAAAGTACTTTCATTTATTTGAAATTAGCTTTACTTGAGCTTGAAGGATTTACCAAATTTCTTTTCCAGCCATAAAAGTAGTCTTTTAGGTCTTATCAACATTTATTTAATAGATTCTACAAATCTTTTTTTGTTGGACTATTTATTACTGCAACACATATTTAAGCGTGCCAATAAGAAGGTAGATTTTCAAATATTTTGCAATGTGTGCCATTATAACTTTTTGGTGCATTGCTCAAGAAAAATTTAGTGCGTTGTTCAAGGAAAAATTTGGTGCATTGCTCAAGGGAAATTTTGTGCATTACTCAAGGGAAATGTATAGCCACCTATTCAATAAAGTAAAAGATATTACGTTGCTCAAGAGTGGCTTTATGTCAAATCCAATTAAATAAAGGAAAATGATAGTGGTATACCAAAAATGTACCCCAATTATCCCCCACTCCTTCCATCATCACAAAAAAAAGCAAAAAAAATTCAAAAGAAAATAAAAAATAAAAACAAAATAAAATGAATGGTAGATAGTGGGGTGGTATACATTTGGGGTACACATTTGGTGTACCCCTAGCATATCCCATACTCTTTATACCAAATTGGCACTCCCTCACAATCTCATCCTAAAAATTTCTCCTTCATATGATTTGAGGTTGCTGCTTAGCGTGGTAGTTAGGGGCACTTTCTTTGTTCGACAATAGTTACTATTTTTTCCTTCATATATACACACACACACACAACATCGGATCTTTGGCTTTTCTAGAAAATAACAAGCTGAATGAGGAAGATAGAATACATAAAAGATTTAAGCATCATGGATGAATACTACCAATACTTAAAATAAAAAATATAAAAAGATAAAGAGAGTAAAAGATTCATAAATATGAAGTTTGAAACAAAAAACTTAACTGATATCTTCACATCCAATAAATAAAGGACTATAGAAATGAAACCACATGTATCACAAAATTCAAATATTCAATGTAGTTTGTTTAAAAAAAATTCAAAGCTTATAATGCAATGGATCCACATTATGTATTATTGTTTATTTTCTTTATTTTAATATTTGATTATATATTATTGTGTAATTGTATACTTATCGTTTTCTTTCATCAATACTTTTCCTGATTATTTAGTTTATAATTAGACCGTGCAACGCACGGGTACGAGTCTAGTTTATTTTAAACAAAATTGTCTTAGTACCATGACTGGTTCCACGCTGTGGGAGCCCCGGTCATACGTGTCCACTTGGCATTGGTAGGAATGCTATTTGTAAACATTTGTTTGCCGCAGTATGTCGTAGCTCGATTGTGGAACGCCACCGGTACCTGAGATCCTCGGGCGCGACACACGACCGGAGTTTTCGAGATTACCGGCTTTCCACGGCCACCACTGCCCGGCGGACGCTATAAACCTTATTCCTTTTTAATAGAGGACAAAGAAGTTCCAGGTAAAATTCAGCCGAGTGATACGATGATATAATGAACTCGGCTCCATCAGATGAATCTGCGCCCTTGAATTCCAAAGACGAAGAGCACCGGAGCCTCCTATCATCTCCAACCTCCCCTCCACCGTCGGAGGAGGGGAGAGAACGGAAAGAAGAAGTCGGAATCGAGTATGAATCGCGGGAGAAATGGGCGGCCGTCGATATCGAATCGGAGGCTGCCGATGGCGTCGATTGCAGCGCTGTCCCGCCCTTTTCGTGGAGGCAGCTATGGCGGTTCACTGGGCCTGGGTTCTTGATGAGCATCGCGTTTCTGGATCCGGGGAATCTCGAGGGGGATCTGCAATCGGGAGCAATCGCCGGCTACTCGCTCTTGTGGCTGCTGATGTGGGCCACGGGAATGGGCCTGCTGATCCAGCTTCTCTCGGCCAGAGTAGGTGTCGCCACAGGCCGGCACTTGGCCGAGCTCTGCAGGGAGGAATATCCTTACTGGGCCGGGCTTTTGCTCTGGTTCATGGCGGAGGTTGCCCTGATTGGAGCTGATATTCAGGAGGTCATTGGTAGTGCCATCGCCATTAAGATTCTCAGCCGTGGGGTTATTCCACTCTGGGCCGGCGTTGTAATCACAGCTTCTGATTGGTAAGCATTCTTAAATCCCCCTTAAATTAAGTTTATTGTACTAATTGCATAGTAACTAGTAAGAAATTCATACAGAATGATCTCGTGTTTATTGTTACAGTTTCAGTCTTATTGGATAGTTAAGGTGCTGTAGAGCAAATCTCTTGAATGTGATAATGATTAGGAAGGTTTATTGTACTAATTGTAAAGCAGTATTTGGCCAGTTTTTAATAGTTGGGAAGTTACTTTCTTGACAGTTTTATAATCTTGGTGCTGGAGAACTATGGAGTGAGAAAGCTTGAAGCTGTTTTCGCCATCTTTATTTCGACTATGGCTCTGGCCTTTGCGGGGATGTTTGGAGACACCAGACCTAGTGGAAAGGAGCTTTTAACAGGTCATTTTTCTATTTTAATTGCTCCCCAAACTATATATACCGCCATGAAAAAGAGTTATTTCACCAAGTTAAAACTATCTGAAATCATAAATTTTAGCTACTCGGTATATTTTACACTGCAATTTCTTTTGTTGGTTTACCTAAATATTGTGTATTTAGATTGTGTGTGTGCGTGCGTGCATGTGTGAGGGTGGTATTTATGTTATTATAAGTTCTAGTACTTTGATTCTTACACCCTTGAAATGATTCATTTTCCTTCACATGACAGGTCTTTTGATTCCTAAGCTTAGCTCAAGAACCATTCGCCAGGCTGTTGGAGTAGTGGGTTGTGTAATAATGCCTCACAATGTGTTTTTGCATTCAGCTTTGGTACAGTCAAGGGAGATTAATCCCAAGAAAAGAGGTCAAGTCCAAGAGGCGTTGAATTATTTTACTATTGAATCGTCTGCTGCCCTCTTAGTCTCTTTCATGATCAACTTGTTTGTCACCACTGTGTTTGCCAAGGGATTCTACGGGAGTAAACAGGCTGGTAGTATAGGGCTAGTCAACGCAGGAGAGTACCTTCAAGAGAAGTATGGTGGTGGGGTGTTCCCAATCCTCTATATTTGGGGGATTGGGTTACTGGCAGCGGGACAGAGTAGTACCATAACCGGGACTTATGCAGGGCAATTTATCATGGGGGGTTTTCTTGATCTTAGGTTGAAGAAATGGATGAGGGCTTTGATTACTAGGAGCTTTGCCATATTGCCTACAATAGTTGTGGCCTTGGTTTTCCATAAAACCGAGTCATCGCTGGATGTGCTAAACGAATGGCTCAATGTGTTGCAGTCTGTTCAAATCCCTTTTGCTCTCGTCCCGCTTCTCACGTTGGTCTCTAAGGAAGAGGTGATGGGATCATTCAAGATTGGGCCTTTTCTTGAGGTGAGCGATCACGATTTATTACATTTTTATGTAACAATTGACCAAAAAAATCATGAAAAGAGAGTGAGATTTAGCATTTGCTCAATACTACTTGATTTTTTCTATTCATATAGACAAGTGCTTAATTTCTTTATGCATCAATATTTTGTATGACGGTAGAGAGTTGCATGGACGGTTGCAATCCTGGTGATGGTTATAAACGGGTACCTGTTGGTTGACTTCTTCGTCTCGGAAGTCAACGGGTTGCTGTTTGTGCTCCTCGTGTGTGCTGTGAATGCCGCGTACATTGCTTTTGTCGTATACCTCATCCTACACGGCGGTGGGCCCATTGCCAATTGTCTCAATTTCTGGTGGAACAAAGGCGCGCGACATTCGCATTACATTTCAGGACTTTCTCCTTAGAGTTACATATTCAGAGGTATGATCGATCCTACAGAACATTTCAGGACTTAAACATACCTACAAACTGACAAAGAGCAGTGAGTATAGCCATACATCATAAACTGACTTATATTTCCATTTTTGCTTGTACTGAATTGACCATTGCTTTTTTTTTTCTCATTCTCTTTTCAATTGTCTGGTGATAGTGATACAAAGCATAGTATGAGTTTGTGAATATGTGACACTTTTGAACTGTAATATGAATGTGAGATCTGTGGTTTAGTTTAGTGTCATTGGAACAGAGTGCATCCCATAAATACATGCTCCTGATTTCGTTATTGTCGTTTCCATTGCCAATAGTTGTCACTTTTCAAACAATGTTTTAGCTTCTAATAAATACTTCAAAATGACAAATTAGAGTTCTCTTTTGCTTATAGTACTCTCTAGTCTCAATGAAGTTTGGGTGATAAATGCATCAATTCATCATTAGTCTAACAAAAAACATTATTTCTGCTGTTTTACAAGGATTATGGTGCATTTGTCTTGACTCTCCTATTGCAACATAGTTGATTTTTATATTGTGTTGCACCCACGACCATAAGAAGGTGTTCCCGTACAACCTTATAATGTTTGACTTCAAATTTTAAACTTTTGGCCGAGACAACATGTCCAGTTACCTAGGTACGTTGTTTTATTTTTTCAATTGGAATGAAAAATAACGTTGATCAAAATGCATTTATGAAACACCCTTACAAAAAAGAAGAACATGTTATCAGTCACAAATGAAAGTGTACACTTTACTCCGTATTTGAGAGGGAGAGAGAGAAAGAGCATTTGCAATTGTGGGTGGGTGGGGAGGGGGGGGTTGCCGCGCCGCACGGCTGCCCATGTCTCGCCGTGCCGATCGCCAATTGCAGAAAGAGTAATTTATAAGCTTCTTTGAAGGTTTCTTTAACAGTTCTTTACCTCGTCATTTTTTAAAACGGTTAGGATAATAAATGTAGTGCTATTCAATTTTCATTATTCAAATAACAACTACATTTTTAAATTAAATTGTTTTACATATAAATATATAACAATATAAAATAACCAGAACCAAAAAAACCGTACCGGAATCGCCGACTCTGGAACCGACACCGGTAACGGAATTGCCGGTTACGAATACGGGCGATGGCGGTTCTGAAATTGTCAGTTTCGAAACTGAATCAAAACCGTATCGTGTCCACCCCTAATTCTCATTGTCATTGTCACCCATAGTACTCATTGTGTTTGTTCATTCAATAAAGACAACATAAAATTACTATCGCGCGCCTTTGTTTTTCTTTTGCTTGAACTTAAAAAATTAAAATTGTTGTTTTTTCCCTACGGCATTTAAATTGAGGCATGTAACATGTCTTGCAAAGCCAATTTGGCTAGCTAGCCATTGGGCGTTGTGACATGTCGTAATGGTACTGCACTTTTTTTTTTCTTTTTCCCTTTCATTCGCACAACATGAAACAAATTAAAGATAGAGATCTAGTAATTTATGCCAAGAGTAAAACATTACCAGTAAAACATATTATAATTTACAATAATTAATTGTGACTTAACTCTGGAATAATTTAGAATTTACAACAGTTAATTATATAAGACCAATCACCTGACAATGACAAGAGTAAAATATTACGAGTGCATGCCTATATACTCCCTCCGTCCAACAAAAAGGTGAACATTTCATCGTTTTGGCTTGTTATTAGATAAAGCTTTCACTATGTTGTATGAACCATAATTTTACTTCTAAACAATTGCTCTTAGCCAAATCCCAAATGTGTAATCTGATTTTATCCACAGGATGTGATTGAGAAAATTGGATATACAGTAGAGATGAGGATCTTAACTCTTGAAGTCCACATATGTACTTTGCATAATAATTTGGGTATCACTGGTGAGACGTACAAGTGACTATAGGCAAAATGTTTGTGGATTCAATATCACCTTTATTTTTTATAAATTAACTTTGGGCCAATTTAAATTTTACATTATATTCTCGTAGACATTTATAAACAGTGAATGATGCCCACTGTTAATATACATTGAAATCTTTGAGAATTTGAGATTAGAGGTACAGTTGTATTAATTTTATGGCACTCCAATATATTTGAACCATATGGAAATTAGTGTAATAACTTATAATTTGACATTAATGCATCATGCATTCCAAAATAAATTGCCATAAAGAAATATGTATACTGCATCCCACCTAAAATTAAACTATCATCATGTGTTGCCTAACTAGATTAGACTGAATTTACTTTTAATTTAATTGTTTAAATAATCTTTACCCAATTTAAAATAAAGTTAATATGCTAAAAACTACTTCGTACATCAAATGCTCAATAAGATAAGAGAAAACATAGTCGGCTATGCTATTTCAACAAATACTCTGTAATTAATGAAAGTAAATAAAGAAAGAAGAAAAAAATTAACCAAAAAATGTAATGTGAGATATTTTTTATGACAGAAAGAATATTTGATTATACATTTACAATAACTACATACTCCTACCCCAAAAAACATTTTTTTCATCTATCTCAATACAAATTTCATATACTTTGCATTTTCTTTTCAAGAAATGAAAATGCAGCTCAAAACATTTCTTTACTAGGAATTCAATTTTAATTGTACAGTTTTTTAAATCTTGATTATGGCAATGCTACTCTCACCCGACTTTATACCTTATCTTGTACATCAAAAATGTGTTCTGACACAAAATGTAAGTCCAACATTGGGACAATACCAGTTTTGCGCTTTCATTTCATGTCAGGACAAATTTTTAAGGTATAAAATGGAGTACAAATAGAACTTTCGTTTTGATTATTTTTCAAAGTATGAATTTTATTTGAGTGGGAGGGCGTAATATTAAAGATCATGAGTTGATAAGATGTGAAGTCAAGTCTCAAGTCGTGTTTAGACAGTTCACCAGGGCCGGCCCAAGGGTGGGCCGAGCAGCCCAACCGGACTGGGCCCAATGTTATAAGGGGCACAATTTTTCATATTTTGCATAATATATATACAAATTTCGTACTACTCTTATATAAAAAATAGAATACCCAAATTGGGTGGAGTGAGGTTCGAACCTGGGCAGATAAGGTGTAATGAGATGCACCATCCACTTGAGCTACCAAGTATGTTGTTGCACAACTCACGCATACAATTAATTAGAAAAAGAAACCCAAGTAGTATCTAATATATTTGTTTAGTAAACTTATAAAACAAGTTTTAAAAATAAATAAACAAACTTATATATGTTTTATTTTAGATTAATATGAATACTTATACCTAAAAAGTATTTTTTTCAAAAAAAAAACTAAAATTTTATCATCAATAAAAATTAAGAATATTTAGTAATTATACCTTAGTATATTAAAATAATTATTTTCTTCTTATTTTTCTCATTCCAATCAACTACATTTAAATGTAAATAGCTACATACACATTGCAGAATATTATATAAAAATACATTACCTAGTCTTTACTTTTTTTAAAAAATATGACTATTACCTTACTATTTTAGTTTTATTAGATACTCATTAACTATATTTGATAGTAATAAAAAATAATACTAATAGTAAATTGAAAAACTATGACGGCATATGTAAAATGATATTGAATATTAAATGGAAGAGTGAAAAAACAAAAATATAATATCTAATACTATAATATAAATTATTATTCTTTTAATTATAGTTAACCGAACCATTGACCCTCGAATTGACCGGTTAAATCTTGACATACTAGCTCGCCCGATTCGATGTGTGATCCAATTTTCAAGATATTGATTTGGGAAAGTAAGTATAAATAAACCTTTTGCTATAATTTTGTATGCAATTTATTTGTTTTGTTACATAGTATTATACTATTATGTTAATGTTTATTTAAATATGATTAGTTTATACACTTTAATACGTTAAGATATTAGGAATAAGACCTTTAAGGCCTCTTTTTCTGTCTCGGCCCAGGCCTTTGAGTTCTCGGGGACGGCCCTGCAGTTCACAAAGGGGTTTTAGAGTGGTAATCATATTATGCCTTTGGGTCCAATGAATAACGTGTGGTCACAACACAAATTACCCAAATCGGAACAGCGCGTAAGGAAGCTCAGACACTACTACTTAACACAAATTACCCAAAGCAGAAAGTGATTTTAGTCTCACCGGGGACTAGACTCCCTAGTAATTAATCACCATTAAGGAAGTTATATATAGTCCGTACTATAGGAGTATTAATTAGTAAATAGTATCTCTGCACAAATATCAATAGGGATACGCGTTGTTAATTCAAGTGGTCAATTCAAAGCTGGAATGACCGTCAATTCAGCTTGTTGTTTCAACCCTTTTTGTTTCTAAGTGGTCATATCACACTCTTCCTCTCTTGAGTACCATAGTATTCGTCCAGTTTCATTTTTCAAATTATTACAATAAATTAATAGTATGATATTTGTTTAGTTTTATTTTCTCAAATTTGTTGTAATGCTTTGAATCTGACCCGTTACAGTGGAGAGAACGGGGTCTAGCGCTATATGTATAGGTGTTATCACAAGCCCTAAGCTGTATTTTGTTCTTGTCTCTTCAAAATAAAATTGCTTCCCATCTTCCCCGTGGACGTAGCCATCACAATATTATTGAACCACGTAAAATTGTTGTCGTGTTTTTCGTGTTCATAATGTTATTCTTGAAATCCGTATAACAAAATTATTACAAAAAAATAGTACGGAGTATCCTTTTCTGTAACATTATTCTCAAAAAATAATTTGAGTAACTTATATAACTGGTCTTTTATAACAACAGGTTTTTCATGTTTAGTTCTCAATTATCAAATATTACTCCTATTGTCATTCTTTTGATGGTACTTTTTCACAAGTAAGTTTTTTGACTTTCTGGCATGTTGGTGTTAATTTGAGATTTTGAGGGTTAAAAGTATAATTTCACAATATCAAATATCTTTCTTGTCATACAAAATTTCGAAAGCCGCTCCTAATGTATCGTTTGAGAACTATTGTTGCTTTCTAGTATAGTCATAGTGTACAGATATGGTTTTTCGTCGAAATTCTGCTCCACAGTGATTCTCATTATTTTTGTGTTATCCATTTAACGGATACCAGAATATGTCATTGATTCGTTGGAGATAAGGTTGATATCAAATTATATTTTTAGCACTCAAAATCTCAAATTAACAATAAAGGGAGTTGTTTTGAAATGAAAATGTGTGTTTTCCGTATTGCCATATTTTTGCAAGAACTGAGAGCCTATCATACTTTGCCCTCCTACTACACAACTGCGAGACACAACAAAGAGAGGTGTGCAGTGGTCAAAGGTATGAGGTCGACGGGACGATGGAATCGCTACATTTTTTGATGTTTGTTTGCAGGGGAAAAACTAGGAATCCCTTTTCATTTCNTGACGCCACCCACGCTCCACGCGTCGCGTGCCGTACACACACATCCCTCCTCACTCTCTCTATCTCTCCCAGTGGGAAAAAAAAGCGTTTCATTGTTTTCTATATATTGCATGCAGATTGTGATTGCAGTCTCAGTATTTCTACACTCCTTTTTTCCACTTTCTTCAAATTCTTCTTTAAAATTTAAATACGGGTTTATTTGATGGGCTATATATCGTATACCGTAGATTTTCCATGACATTTCCTTTGGCTAATTCCCTAATTATTTATAAAAGGTCGCCTTTTTCTTTATTATTGATTGATCGGAGTGGGGAACTGTAAACCCTTTTATTCTCTGTATTTTTATCTTGAAATTTCAACACATTTGGGAAAGAAAACTGAGAAATTGTTCTTCTTTGATTTCTGGCTGTAATGGAGGAGAAGCCGTACTGGGGGACGGGAAGCCCTTATGGTGTTCCGTCGCCGACGGGGTCTAATAATGGGGCCGATTTGTTGTCGCTCGAATCGAGAATTTCCAGGCTGAGAATATCGCCGTCGGAATCTGACCACGGCCGCCTCCTCGTGCGCGGGGTTGGTCGTCGGGAGGCGACGCCGATGGCCGGTTCTTTGTGGGGTGGCGGGGCTGAGCTCGCGGCGGGGTGGCGATTGGACTCTCCTCTCCCGGTGGCAGCGCATCGTCGGGTAAGGGGTTTACCGACGGTGGGCCACTTCGGCGAGTTATTGGGCTGTGGTGGAGCCCATTTGGATTCGAATGTGGGCCCGGATTGGAGTTGGGCCCCTTCGTATCCCGAACATTCCAGCGGCGACCCTAATCTCAGGGCCCCCTTCGCCGCCGCCGCCGCTTGGCTGCGTTCCCGGGGCGGAGAACAAGTGTCATCGGGTAACGAAAAAGGTGAAAGATTTGACCACGATTTCGACACTTTCTTGGCCCGCAAGAAACCATTACTGCACAGTACCCCAAATCCCAAATTTCCGATCCTCAATCCCTCGAACCAAACCGCCATTCCCAGAAACCCTCAAATCCATCTCCGGCGGAACCCGGAAAACGCGCTGTTCAATCTCGACCAGATCAGGGGGAAGATACTCGCCCTCGCGAACGACCAAACCGGGTGCAGGATCCTGCAACACAACCTAAACCTATGGACCAACGAGGAAGTCGACGTCGTACTGAACGAGCTGATCGACTTCGCCGGACATCTGTTGAAGCATCCCTCCGGCAGTTACCTGATTCCGAAGCTTTTCTCCGTGTGCTCCGAGGAACAGAGGCTCCGGATAATCCTGGCATTGGCGAGGACTCAATTTGAGCTCATTTCCATATGCTTAAACGCTATTGGGTATCTGATTTAGTCCTCTTTTCTTGGCTTGATCGAATTTGAAAATTTTGTGTTTAAGGATAATTAAATAATTGATTGATTATATTACTGTTTAATTAATCACGTGCATGAAGGGCTCGAGCTATGCAGAAGATTCTGGAAGAAATTAGGTCAGCACAACAGAGGTTGATTGTGATGAAGACTTTAAGGGTTGGTGCTGTTGATTTGGCCTGTGACACTTATGGCCACCTTGTGATTTCTTATTGCCTCTCCAACTATTCATTCGAATTCAACGAGGTAAGTACATTACATTTAATAATGCTACTTTAATTTTAAGGATGTTTTCAAGATTCAGTGTCACTGGTATTCGGTATGATAGGTAATGTCTGCGTAAAAATATTCTTCTCGTATCATACTTGTGTGAGATTTTACTCAATTGATACCATCAGAGAAATTTTACCTGAATATTTAACTTATGTATTTTTTTATATAAAAATATGACAACGTAAATGGTACATAGCAACATCTTGAGATTGTTGTGATCAACATTGTTTTAGTAGCCACAATGATTATAACTATGAATCATATGAGTAGGTATTGGATTAAGAGATGCACGTGGTGATCTAGTGCATCAATAGGAATTAATCCATTATAGAAGATGTTTAAGTTTAATTAAGTGTCTTTCTTAGAGAATATTTCGGGAATAGTGTTCTCAAGTGGAGTTTCCACGCATTTTAAGGAGAATTGAAAAACAATATGAAATATCCACTTTACCATTTTTAAAGTGGATGAGGAATGTTAAATGAAGTGGTGAAGTGTATTAAATGAAGAGAATAGTGGTAATCATGATATGATAATTGACATATTAAAAATAAAATGGAAAGATCAATTTTGGACGCTCCAAATTGGTATTTGGGAAGAGATCATTCTTGGGGGAGGGAGTAAAATATTCTATGAGCCCTAAACCAAAGTCAAGAACAATACTTGGGGAATATATGAGATTTCCAACAATACTTGTGAAGTGTTTCCGTGATTATGCATATAAAAATGATAACCATGTTTGCTTTAAATTTATACTGTTACTCCCTCCGTCCCTTGAAAACATGTGAGATTTTGATTCTTAAGAAATTTAAGGAAATTGTATTTTGGTGTTGAGTTTTCAAAAATGTCTTTGGATGTGATAGGTGAAAAGTAGGATCTGATGGTTAGATGAATAGTGAATCGATGTGATGTGATGTGATAGGTAAGTTAAAAATTAGTAGGGGACGGGTAAAGTGACTTTTTAATAGAAATGTAAACAGTTTTTTGACACGGATGAAAAAAGAAAGAAGAAGATTTTCATGGGCAGAGGTATTATATATGTTCAAAAGAAATCACTTTTGATGGCTTCATTTTCAACTTGTTTCTCTTGGTGTGGTGCCAAGCAAAACAGCATCATATTTTGTCCTTTAATTGCATTCATCATTTGAAGGATTCAACTTTGTTGTCAATTTCCATTACTTGGGTCACAATTGGAAATGGGGAGGGAGGATTGCACCATTTTCTTCCATGACCAATCTAATAAGAGGCAGTATTTTTGTTTAGGGAATTATCAATGAGATAACAAATGCATGCCTCCCAGTGGCAACCAACATAAGAGGATGTCGCCTGCTGCAGCTATGTGTGGAGAATGCTTGTGGAGATGTCAAAGAACGTTTGGTGCGCGAGATTTTAGCAAACTCTGTCATCCTCTCCGAAGATCTCTATGGGTTAGCATCTGATTGAAACCAAACGCACCCTTAGAGTCATAGTAATAGATTTCTTGATGGCTTTCTATTCCAATCCATTCCGTTCTATGCAGCAACTATGTGGTCCAGCATCTTCTTGAGCAGAACATCCCTGGAGTTGAGGATGCACTTGTTAGGATTCTTGAAGGCAGGTTTGTGTCCCTTGCGTGCAACAAATACGCGAGCAACGTGGTTGAGAAGTTCTTCCTCAAGCCGGGAAAGAACACTTCCAAAATCATAATGGAGTTCATCACCAGCCCAAATTCCTCCAGGCTCCTCGTGGATCCCTATGCCAACTATGTCATCCAGAAAGCCCTCAATGTCGCAACGGTACTTTCTTTAATTTCCCCCCTCAATCTTTCGATAATGTTTCAGATGATTCGTCCTAATGAAAAACATAGTTCTAAACAAAGTAAAACAAGAAAATCCACAGCTGAATCATGGTTTGTTATGCAGGGGGAGCCATTGAAAGGGCTTGTGGATCTGATCATGGTGAATGCCACAACCATGCAAAGTAATAAGCACGGGAGAAAGATCCTTTCTTGGTTTGACAACATGAAAGTTCACTCTTTGTACATGTGACACCACCCCCACAGACGACCGTTGTATGTGTTTTTTTGCCCCTCTGTCTGTCAGTGTATAACTACTGTTGTAGCTGTGCTTTAGTTGTCTCTTTGTTTTTTTTGTCTGTATGCGCATAGCATAGCAACCATATGTTACAAGTGGCCGTCATAATATTTGTGTTTGGGACTTTGGATTGTATCACGTGGTGTTGTGTGTTGACATATCAATCATCCTCCTATCTCTATAATTGTTTACACTTCATAAAGATATAATATTATAGGAGTAGTGTTCTTTTTGTGAGATCATGACATTCTTTTCTTGCCTGTGTGAAGTTATCCTATCCATCGTTCATCATTAACAAGTTGAGGAGCATATTTTCACATAAATTCAATATTGATTTGGTCAAACGATTTTGTCTGTTCTGAAAAGAGGTTGGATTGATCTTGGATGAGGCGCACTTCTTGAAAAAGCGACTCAGGCTAAAAGTAGAGATCCTGAACATTTTAGTTTTGGAGATTTTGTCTTTCCAGAGCTTATTTTATATTTTCGTCCAAGTTATACTTGGCGAGTAACACGGGAAATTCAAAGAGCGCATGTGACTAGTATCCATGCTAGAAGCAAGATATGATGTGGTCTACCTCACAATGGTAAGGGTATGAAAAGCTTAAAAGTCCACAATGAGAGCTTGGATAGTGTCAATTAAATGGGTGTAAAGCAAGTCATACGTCAATAGTAGTTAACATTGATATCACATTATTTCGAAATCAATACTTCTATTTAACAAAGTTGTACTTTTTTATACAAAATTGTACTTTTGTTTCAATGTCCTTTGAGTAATGCATGTTCATTTTTTAGCAAGGTTTGAGCATGTGTATGATATTGTACCGTTTTGTTTCAAAACCGAATGATACCGAATGGTTTTGGAGTTTATCCTGTATCAATACTGAATCATTTAAACAAGAGCGGCCCGTGATAGGTTCCGGTAGTATACGAATCGTGCCCACCCTACCACTCAGTAGTTTATTAAATTTAAAAATAAAATTTACATTTTAAGACTAAATTACAATCTTTCTGTGCCCTTAGGTTGAAAATAGTATGAACATAGAGTCAATAACATTAAAAAAAGAAGTGATTTTGTTCATTCAATGAATTTGGCTAAGATAGCATGATTTATATCAATGGTTCATAGATTAAATCCTAGCTATAATGTTATACTCCCTCCGTCCCCAATTTGATTACAAATTGCGGGTTATGGAGTAAAATTTCCTGATTTTTGAAATCATTTTATTTACAAATTGGCATATCAATAAGATATAAAAATTACATATTAAAAAACTACGTCAAAAATTCTACAAAACAAGAGGTGACAAGAATATTTTATTTAGGGACGGAGGGAGTATTTTCAGACCCCATAAAGAGCTTAACATTTTAAAAACATTTTTGCAAAAAAAAAAAAAAACAATTCAGTAGTCCAATTTTCAAAACTGATTAAAACCAATGGCAAATTGCCGTCGGACTCAGCTGTTGTGTGCAAAGAATCGCTCCAACAATCCATTTGCTGAAGCCTAAAGTTGCGTCAAAGTTGGAGCGAAACCCATAGGAACCCATGCTAACTGGGCTCGGGTTTCAATTGCGAGTCTGGTATGATCCGACTAACCATTTGTACACGATTCGATGGATAAACGATCTATCCGATCCGCTATCATGGATAAAAAACCAAAAACGGGTGATGAACGGATGAACTATTGATGGATCGGAAGATGTAAATTAAAGGTCCGAGAGAAACAGGGGCGCAAGCAGTTGGGATTTGTTCAAAACCAGGAAGGTTAGCTAGAGATCATCTTTGCCTCTGTTTTTTTCATCTATATATTTACTACTCGTAGTAGTCATTGTCTCTCATGTTTGATTCATACCAACTGTAGACCCAAAACTAATTTCACATACAAATTTGTTTGTGGTGCAATTTGTGCACTTTGGTGTACAATTTCTAGGACAAGAAATGGAGGGGCTGTAATGCAATTTTTCAGAACAAACATGTCACAACAAAACAAGTCTTTCATGTGAAAAAGAAAAGAAAGGGCATTTTATTGAATTGGCGTAGTACAATCCAACACACTTGATGAGAATTACAACGACATAAGATGACAGTGAAATCTAATTAATTAAACAGCAGAGCATTTGATCAAACAAATTGCTTATTTATTATTATTGTTATAAATCTTAATTATGAACGAACTAGCCAGCCCTCATCATCTCTAGCTAGCTAGCTAGCTAGTATTATTATTATTATTATTATTATTATTAGAGAGTAATTATATTGATGAAGGCTGATTATTATTATTATAATTGATTTATTAGTTAATTAGGTAGGTATGTAGGAAGGGCATGCAGCAGGTAAGGGAGAGAGAGAGAGAGATTATATATTAATATTAAGGGCACTTGGGCTTGCCCTTGTTGTTCTTCAAGTCCCTATAACAAGGGCACTCGTGCTTGTTGCCATAAGTCCCAGAGGGCACACAGTTGCACTGCTTGCAGCATATCCCGCAGTACTTTGTGCACCTGTCCTTGAACCCCGCCTTTGAACACCTCGCCTCGCACTTGTCGTCGCACGAACCACCACCACCACCTGCAGTTCCACACTCAGTGGGGCCGGGCAGAACGAAGCAAGATGATGAGATGAAAAGAACAACACAATATAATAAATAATAAAGGAGTGATGAGTAATGCCCATTAATTATTTTGCATGAGCAAAGAACTTTTTTTTTTTTAAAAAAAAAAAAAAAACCAACCTGATGACTTTGAAGTAGTACTGGCTGATGAGGAGCCAAGAACTAGAGCTAGAAGAAGCAAGATTGCAATAAGAACCACCTTCATTCTATTTTTTTTTTTATTCTTCAAGAGAAATTTGTTTTTTTTAAAGTAATAAATTAGCTGGAGTGAATACAGTATATATAAATATGTGCAGCAGATAGAGGGCCTTTATGTGTGTATATATAATACTGAGGAGTAATATCATATGGAGGAGGTGAGGTAGGTGGTGTATGGGGAAGATATATCATAATAAAGGTGCTGTCTTTGGTGTAAATTTAATTAAATGAAAAAGTCTGCGCAATGCATGTAATGCAATATGCAATGCAACAAAAAAAGTACCTCCTCCATTCCTAGAAAAAGTGATACAATTTGACGTTTTTAGTGAGACTCTGACACTCTTTCATCATGAATATATTTATGGGGAAAAAAATATTTCGTTATGATGTAAATTTAGTAAAATAAGATTTATTTTAAAATATAATTTTGGAATATCTAATTTTTATAAAATTGAATTATTTTAAACTATATTTCATTTATAGTTAAAGAATGTCACATTTTGACCAAAAAAGTTAAATTGTGAAAATTTTTTAGGGATGAAGGAGGAGTAAATAAATAAATGGAGAGTGGAAGTTGAATGAATGAGTAAATATAAATATGGTGGGGTGGAGTCCAGACTGTCAACATATAAACATGATACATGCATTTATTTTTTTATGTTTGTTATTAGATGAGTGTGCATTCTTGTACTGGCCTGCCCAACAACAGCATTAGGACAAACTCACCCTCAACATATTCGATGAATGTTGTGTGTGTGTTTTTTTTTCAATTTTTTTGTGTCAATTTTTCTTTGTTTGAAGCTCAGTAAAAGATTCTGTATTTTGACAGTCTCAAGTTCTCTTTTCCATCTTTTTTAAAGGAAAGAAATTTCAAATGATTTTGATGAATTGAACCTTGTATTGCACCCAAATGATCCAATGTCTTAAGAGGCGTTTATTGACAAGGACTAAGAAAAAGACTTAAAATGTAGGGTGCAACTTGGGTTCCCCAAGCATGGCTTAAGAAAAAGACTTCTTTGCTACCTCGAGGGAGGATTTTCTAAGAGCCTCGAACCGAGAAGTTTCTTGACCAAAGAACTTCTTGTTCAAATTTTAAGTCTAACAGTCTCGAACCCTCCCTACGAAACTCTCACCCAATCATTATCCCTCCTTTTTTAAATACAGTATATTTGAACAATATATACTCCCTCTATTTCTTTTAAATATTCTGATTCGTCTTTTAAAGTATCATACTCCCTCTGTCCTTAAAAGTCTTTCTCATTTTTTTTCTTGTCTCGAAATTTCTTTCTTCTTTATTTCGATTAAAAAACATAGTTTTCCTCCTACTAATTCTTAGATTGTTTATTACATCTTATCTTTTTATTAATAAAATACTCAGCACATCTTAGTTTATTCATTACATCATTGGTAATTTGAGAAAGTCAAATTATGTAAGAAATATTTTTGTGTTGAGTATTTTATTAATAAAATACTCAACACAAAAATATTTCTTACATAAATCACATAAAAGTTAAAATGAAAAAATTTTTTAGAGATGAAGAGAGTAATTACCATGGGCCTATATGTGCGATATATGGAAAACCAATAAGTTGTATCCAAGCCCAAAGTTGCACAGCGCTATGATATACGAAGCACTAAGTTTTGGCCCATTAACGCATTAAATCTTTTCTCGCATGAGGGGATCTAAACATACAAAAGGCCTAATTAGAACTCATTTTTAAAAAAAGGAAATTGAGTTGAGGCCAGAGCTCAAAACCATTAGCAACAAAAACCGGCCCATCACCTCGTCCCTCCCATTTTGGCATTTTTATTGGTTCTTAAAGAATTTCTTATTTTGATTTTTTAGTCAAACAATGAAACTTCTTTACCATAAAATATAAATAATTTAAATAAATAAATAATATAAAAATGTGATATATCAAAAATATATGCTAAAGTGAACCCAATTATATTGAATTTATATTAAAATTAAATATATTCCGTACTTTGTTCTCACAATTTATAATCAAAGAATGTCATTGTTTGACAAAAAAATCAAAACATAAAAGGTTTTTAAGTCGAAGGGAGTATTAATTATGTGTTTGGTATCTATAGGTTAGAGTATTATTAGTTCTTCGTTTATACTTTGTACTCAAGAAATCCTCTGAAATAACGGTAAAACAAAACTTTTACGGAATATCTTGTAAAGTTTTACGTTTTTATTCTCGAAATAGAAGTTTCAATTCTGACTATGTGGCACTGTACATTAGCATTTCATAATGTCTTTTTGATATTGTATGTTGACAATATTGATTTTGTAACTTCTATTTTGAAAATAAAAAATAAGAAACTTTTATTTTAGCAATTTCTCCATGTTTTACTTCTATTTTGATATTTTGAAGAAATCAACCTAAATAAAGGTAAAATATTTATCCATAAAATAAGAGTTTCATGTTTTTTTTCTTAAATTCCAGTTTGTTCTAACTCCTTTTAGTTACTTTCAACTTTTTTCAGTTCTTTCAAACTTATTCCAGTTTTTTCAACAACTTAAAAAAGAACTTTTATATGATTAATATAAAATATATTATATATCAAAATTTGTAACATTAAATACACGAACAATTATGAATTCTTTGTTTATCAAAATTTAGAATTTTCTTACATATTTATTTGGTGATCATTTATTTAACACTTAAACTCTTTCAATATTTTTCAACTCCTTATAATTTTTTCCAACTTTTCCAGTTTTTTCCAACATCCAACTCTTAAATTTTATCCAAAAGAACAGGGCCTTAATCAGGGTGCAGTTGACGGGGTGGTGATGAGGGTTATGTGTGGTAATAACCATCAATTTTTTGAACAAAACATCATAAATATTTTGGATCATCCATAGACACTAATTTGCAGTGTCAACAGATTTGTACAGGAAATTTTATACGGATTTTTGTATTTTGACATACTACAAAAGTAATTGAGTTACTTTTTACCAACAGATGCAGGTGGAGCCGGTGGTCTCTTGGAAACAGCCTCCCTACTTTCGAGTAGGTGCAAGGTTTGCATACACACAACCTTCCCAGACCCTACTGTTGTGAGATTCACCTGGATTGTTGTTGTTGTTGTTGGCCAATTTCATATTTCACTCTTCTTCCCAAATTGTTTGCAACATTTCTGAGGATGTGCAGAATATTATCTCTTTTAAAATTATTTTATTTATAAGTTCATAGTGAAATAAAAAGTAAAAATTACACTTTAAGGAGTACATAAAAAAATTTACAAAATAAAATGCTACAAGAATATTTGATTTTATCAAATGGTCAACCAATTCAAATGAGTAAATAAATAATAGTCATCGAGAGGGTGAAATAATAACTGTGTCCTTCTTTTTTGACGCAGAGAAAAATATTTTTTTCCAATTGTTCGTACTTTTTTTTGTTGGGGAAAAATCGTTCGTACATAGAAATGTTTGGATCTATTTTTTAATGGTCACATTTTGTCTAATTTTGCCTCCCTTAGTACCTTGTGGTTTTAAATTTCAATTTTCTCGTATGTGTTCATAAAAAGATTTGACTATGATGTATTAAAGAGATCTTAATTTTTTTCTTACGAAATATGGAGTTCTATGGTAAATCTTCTCACAAGTTTTATCGCTCCAAGATTTCACGTTCTCGATCAACTGAGCTGTCCATGCGGGCAAATGGGGTGCAACACGATGACTTCCCAGGGAGTCACCCATCCTAGTACTACTCTCATCTCACAATTTTCATGGATTTATAGGTGAGTGTTTATTTTGCAAAATGGAAAACTTTCTAAATAAGAATACAAAACTATGAAAATATCAAGATATGAGTCTCAAGTTTGTGAAGATCAAAATAAAAGTTTAAAATGTCATTTTTACACTACCATGCATCTCCCGTTGTCACAATGCAATTGTTACACTGTCATCTGTTGTCACTAATGTTGACCGGTGGTTCGTTGGCAGTTGACTGATCGTACTTTCTTTATTACATTATCATCACTTTTCTATCACAGTGCCAACACTTACACCATACTGTCATTATACTTTTGTTTCGGTCTTAAAAGTTTAGGATTCATATTTTAGTATTTTCATATTTATTTACTCTTATTTGGGAAGATTTCTATTTGCAAAAAACTCAACTCCTTAATAGTGATTAAAAACTAAAGTCCATAAAATGAGTATGGACGGTAGGACCACATAAGAAATTGCCCTCATTTTACCTTTAACTTATACTACCTCCGTCTGTCTTTGTCCACTTTTGACTTTTGGAACTGTTCATCTAAGCACTTTGACTCATCAAATTCTCTCAATGTGTAAGCCTAAAAATAGTCATGTGTGATCTTGTTTGATTCGTCTTAACATATAGATTATTAATATATAATTTCTATAATTTTTTAATACGGAGTATATAAATTACAAGATAAAATGGATTAAAGAAGTGCATTGGATGGTGTGCCAAAAGGTAAGTGGACAAAGACAGTGGGGCGGAGGGAGTAAGAATTTTAACAAAATTTTATTAATAATAAACTTTTAGACTTTATATTTTTATTCCCAAAATTTTAGTGTGTTTGTATTTGTACTTTTTTTAATTTCCTTTCGAGTTCTTTGTGTGTAGATCGGATAACGTTATTGCTCATACACTTGCTAGGCGCGTGGAGTTTGAGGTTTGGGAGTTGGGAATTGACCCCCCCCCCTCCCTAAACTTTGTTGTTCCTCTTCTTTGATTTAATAGAGTTCGTTTCCGTTCAAAAAAAAAGTTATATATTTCAAGACTATATCAAATATTCTACTCCGTAAAAAATAAGAACCTAAATTATTTGGTTATTTTATATTTATTAATATAATGAATAAAAGTATATGATAAAACAAAATATTCCTTATAATTTAAATCACGCCAATAAAGATTTTTTTTATCTTATAAGCAAAATTTGCAATAAATTTTATACTCGGTAGACTCCGTATAAAGTATTTTAAAACTGAAGCACATGCGTTAATGGATTGCCATCTTTGCAAGCATTTTTTTTTGTGAAAGGCATTTGAATTTGGTTCATAAAAAAAATTATTCGATGAATTGAATTGACAAATGGATTGACTGAGTGTGAGAAACGACCACTTCGCCGTGATGCACGCATTTGATTGTGGACTTGCAAATTCAACGTGGAGTCCTCTATACATTAGACTTAGGGAGGGGCAGGTAGGTCTTTTTGTCCTTCCTTTATGATTTTAATTTTATTTTGTTTCATATTTTCCTACTCAAATTTTTTAACTCTTCTCGACTACTCCCTAGCTCCATTCTAAAAAAATTTTCATGTTTTGAATTTATTTGGTCAAGTAATGATACTTTTTGAGCATAAATTGTGAGAAAAATATTTTTAATTATAATATAAATTTGACATAATTGAGTTTATCTAAGAAAATAGTTTTGATATACGGAGTATCAAATTTTTACTCTTTAGTCCCTAATTTGATTACAATATTATGTTCTCTTTTCTCGCGATAGCTTTTGTTTATTCGTGTGTTTTCATTAATTATTTGATAAAATAAAATATTCTTACCACCTCTTGTTTTGTTAAACTTTGGACGTAGTTTTTCAGTAATATGTAATTTTTATTTCTTATTGATGTACCAATTTATAAATAAAATAATCTTAAAAACATGAGGAATTATCTACTAGGAAGTATCTACTCCCTCCGTCCCGGAAAACATGTGAGTTTGGATTTTGAAGAGGGATTTAAGGGGAGTGTATTTTGGTAATGAATTTCCAAAAATGTCATTTGATGTGATGGGTAAAAGTATGATTTGATGGATGGATTATTAGTAAAAAATTATGATGTGATAGGTAGGGTATGAAAAAGTAAAGGGTAAAAGTGACTTTTTAATAGAAATGAGAAGTGTTTTTTGGAACGGATGAAAAAATAAAGGAGAAAAGTTTTCTGGGACGGAGAGAGTATTTGATAAAGAAATCAAAACAAGAAAGGTGGGGGGAGAATGATGGTGTAAATTAGTAGGATAGTAATAATGTAGCTATGTGAATAATGAGTAATAAATTTTATTTAAATGATCAATCATTGTAGCTAATCTTTTAAATTTAGAGAAATTTATCTAAATTGTACTAAAATATAGGGACTTAGTACCATATATTTTTTACTTCCTTATGTAGTACTCCGTACCATTCTTCATTGTTCACTAGTTATTATTCAAGTAAATGTTCAGCGTTATTGAACATTGTTCAAATTAAACTAAATGTCCACCGTTACTGGACATTGTTCCTGCCACTAGACTTTATTCAAGTTCTATTTAGAAAATAAAAAAATGAAAGACTACATTAGGAAAGAACATACTACCCCCGTCCCAGCGTATTTGTCCATTTTTTACTTTTTTTCAGTCAATCTTTTTTAACCTTTAACCTATAATTAAATATAATATATTTTGTATATTCATTAGATAAAATAGTATTTTAAAAAATATTTTATATAATAAATCTTGTTTTTAGTATTGGAGAGTACTTTGGTAAATTTCTTTTGGAATAATATACATTCAAAGCAATAAACGGGATAGACATAAGTCAAAGGTCACGTAGGTATAGTAGAAGCGTCACATGGCAACAATAGGACGACGACAATGGTGTTAGTTCTTCATCATCTACTTATTACTTTGACGTTTGTAAACTCTCATGTTGTTTGTAGCCCCTTTTGCATGCATGTTTAATAGCCCTTTTAATGTACTTTTGTAGAGTTTGCATTTGAAAATTAAACACTAGAGAGTACTCTCCATGTCTCATACTCTCTCCCCGTCCCTTAAAATTCTTCCCTTATTAACTTTTAAAAAATTTAAAGAAGAAATATATTTGTGTTAATTTTTCAATATGTCTTTGATGTGATAGATAAATGTAGGATACAAATTATGATTGATGAACTATTTGTAAAAAGGTATTATGTGATAAGTATGATAATAGTAAGTACGACTAAAAGTAGATTTTAATAGAAAAAAGAATGAATTTGTGGGACAAGAAAAAAAAGAAAGGAGAAAGAATTTAAGGAATGAAAAAAGTACTCGTATATAACTAAAGTCGCATTGCGGATTAAAATGGTTGACCGAATTTATTTTATAAATTTTATTTATAAGTAATCATACAAAATTACAAAATACGGAGTAAAATTTACTCCGTAAATTTTTTTTAAAAATTATTTCAAATATTTAAAACAAGTGATGGCAATAAATAAGTAGAGAACAATTTAACCTATTTTCAACGAATTTAACTTTTTTGTGTATCTTTTTACAATGTAGTACCTACCACTTTTCTATTTTCTTAATAATGCTTGAATAATGTCTAGTGTCGGTAACAATATTCAGTAAGAGTGGACATTTAGTTTGAATAATGTCCTGTGACGGTGGTCATTTACTTGAACAACGACCAATAGACAGAGCAGTAGTACTACAACAGGAAATAGAAAGATATGATACGTACTATATTGAGAAAGTCACTATTTTTTAATACTCTTTTCGTCCTCATTTTGATTACAATTTCATTTTCTTTCTCTTCTCGATTACTTTTATTTCTTCATGTGTTTTCATTGATTATTTTATAAAATATGACTGTGGACGTATTTTTTTAAAATTTAATTTTTATTTCTTATTGTTGTACCAATTTGTAAGTAAAATAATTTCACAAAATCATAAATTTAACTCATAATTGTTATTTTGTAATCAAAATAGGGAGGAAGGGAATACACCGTAATATTTAAACACATCTCCGTATAGAAAAAAGTAACCCGCCAATAATGTTTGTGACTTGATTTTTGGGTCGTAGTCTCGTAGAGAACAATTTAACCTTTTTTTTCAATCAATTTAACCTTCTTTTGCTTCAAAACTAATCAACATTACCAAAAGGACAAAATGTAATCTTTTGGTCAAAATTAGTCTGCTCTGTGAAAACCATTATGTGGGAAACAGGTACGAAATTAAAAAAAACATTTACGTGATGAAAGAGTTGTTACATTGTATTTTATCAAATATACTTCCTAGACAAAGAATTTTTTAAAAAAGAGAAGACAAGAAATTATATTTTATATTGTGATTAATTGATTATTGTATCTGGTTTGTCGTATGTAAGACTCAAAACTAATTATGTTTCAAAAATATTTTTTTTCTATTTTAAATAAAGAAAATGTGATTCACAGTATACCTTTTTCTCATCTAATTTGATCTGAATATAATTATATTTAATTTATTTCTGATTTGATAAGACTGATTCAAACTAATTTGAATAAGAAAAAAAAATAAATAATAAGAATAAGTTGAAGAGAACAAACTATAAGGTCATGTTCTACCCAACTTATTTTTTCATTTATTACTTATTTTTATCAAAATGAGATCAGATCAGAAATAGCTTTAAATATAACTATAATCAGACACATAAGTTGAAGAGAACATGACCTAAATCCACCTCATAATTTGCTAAATTCACTCTATTAATAAGAAATAAACGCCTTTACTCTTTCACTTCTTTTGTTTTCAATCATGATTAAGGATAAATCTGTTAATTGACACACAAACGGGTGAATATCGTCAATATGTGGTGGATTAAAGTATTAAACAATAACCAAATCATAACCATACGAAATTCCTAAGGCCGGCTCCATCTAGAAAAAGAATTCTTTCATTATTACAAAAAAAACAGGAACCATTGAAAGGGGGACATAGTTTATTGTACAGTTGATATGCAATTGTGTAACAATTTTTTACTTCTTTAATTTGGGGAGGTATATTTCATATTTGGGGGTGTTATCTCTACCTTCATCAATTTGGGGAGGTATATTGGACATAATTTCTTTTTTAATTTTGTAAATTGGACATAAGTACATTTGCTTATTTGATACTCCCTCCGTCCAAAAAAGAACTTCCCAGTTTGACCCGACACGCAAATTTATGTGTGATAAAAATTGTATTGACTTTCCCCTTATACCCCTCAACCTATTTGCCCTCTCCACCGTCATAAGCCATCTACCGGTGTTGCCAACGCCGGCGGCGGTTCACCGACCGACCGTTCTTCAACACCACTGCAGATGTTCTTGTCACCGCCCCTCCCCCACCCCCACTGTCGCAGACCTTACGCCGTCATAGATCTATTCCGGCCAGGTCTTCTCGTTGAAGACAGTCATTGAACACAACCCGCAAGCCCTCCTCGCAGATCTGTTCTGGGACTTCTCGTTGAAGGCAACCCCCCTGCCATCGCAAATCTATTTTAGGACTTGTTGATTTCCCCGCAGATCTGAAGAAAAAAAGACTTTTGTCAATTTTTGTCTTTGTACACTTTTAGATCTAGTCAAATCTGAGAGCTCTTTCCAAATTGTGGGTGAAATCGGAAGGGGGAGGGAGAATGAATTAAAAAGAAGAAGAAGAAGATTGGTGTGGTATGAACAAATCAAAAGGAGTGGAGTGGATTAGGGGAAGGAGATAGAAAGAAAGAAGAAAAAGAGAGGAGTGGCTCCTGGGCGGAAGAAGAAGAATGGGGGAAGAAGAAAAGAAGAAGAAGAAAAAAAAGAATGGGCAAATCGGAGAAAGAAGAAAAGGAAAAAAGTGGGTGGCTTGGATGGTTGAGGATAGTTTAGTCATTTTAACATAAAAAAGTTACCAAATAAGGAAATGGAAGGTTTATTTGTGGACATTCCAAATAGGAAAGTGGGAAGTTCTTTTATAGACGGAGGGAATAATTGACATTCTAATTTTTTTTCAAGAACTTAGATTCTTATAAAGTTTTTAAATTTAAAGAAATACTTTGCAATAATTAGGAAGAAACAAAGGCAACAAATTTCAATTTACCTCTTCATCAACTTTCTTCCTATAGAAATTTCTATTTTTAAAAAGGTTCGGTGGCCGTTGCGCAAATAGGAAGACAAAAAGTGTCAAAAGGTAAGAGTCGAATTCGATTTTTGGCTACTGTGATAAGAGACAACTATGCTAAGTATAGAACATGTAACTATCAGGTGCAAGTTTTATCTTTTATTACCAATTTACAAATAAACTTCAATTTACACCTTCAATTTTTAAAATGGTATATTTACGATTTTAAGAAAATAACCTAAACTTGATCAATATGACATTCTATGCTCTTTAAAATCCCTAATTAAGAAGCCGAAGACGCAATTTCTTCACCAAAACGGCATTAGCTTTACCCCTCTGCTCGCTTTAGTTTCCTTTTTCAGTCTTTAAGGCAGACCACAGCTGAGCCGCTTTTGCTGGTTCACTCCTTTCCAGAGCTTCACTTCACCGGCGAAGGTAGAAGGGGTGTCCGTGTGGGCCACCGGTTTGTCCCTTCGCTTCGCCTCTGTGTATATTGGGGCTTCCCGGCGAGGTTGTAGCGCATTCTTCGGAATATGGAGAGAAAGCAAGGTTTTTTTTCCGCTCTGAAAGAGGAGCTTGTTCGCGGGCTGTCTCCGGCGAGGTCTCGGGGAAGAAACCCGTCGCCGTCGGGTTCCGGTCTCCTCCGTCGCAGACGGTCGAGTCATGCCCAGCCGCCGGATGCCTACATTTCGAGATCGGGGAGTTTGAGGGCCGGCGGCGTCGAGACGCTGTCGCCGTTGATGGAGGGGCCGGATCCGAACGGGGCCGAGGGAAGTGACTCCCGGAGCGAGAAGTGGGGTAACTGGATGAAGGGCCAGCTGAGCAGGGCTCCATCCGTTTCCGTTTCCGGGTCGGGTTTTCAGCAGCGGGCGGATCTGAGGCTTCTGCTCGGCGTCTTGGGCGCCCCACTCGCCCCCGTGCACGTTAGCAGCTACGATCCTCTTCCTCATCTCTGTATTAAAGATACTCCCATTGTTAGTCTCTCTCTCTTTCTCTCTCTCTCTCCCTCTTATTTTCTGCAGTCAATTTTGTTCCTTTTCCAGAATCCATTAACAAATCGTTTTCGAGCTCTAAATACAGCACACAATTTTGTACAGCAGCAAATTTTCAACCATGTTTCAACGCCCAATTTTCAACTTGAAGTTTATTTTCCTTTTTTAGTCAAAAAGATGCCCAAATGTGGCTGTGAATATTCTCTTTCCAAACTCTTGAGTTCTTTAAAACTTTGCTTTATATATATGTAATAATAACACAGAATACTATATAATGAAGCTCTGTTAAGGAATCTCTGCAATTTTGAATAATTTAGTTCCAACTTGATAAAAAGTGCTGAACTGAAAATAAGTTGACTTGAGTCTGATTTTAGTCAAGGGCAAAGAAAAACCTGGTTTATGGATTGGTTGCAGCACTCATTAAAAGCAACTGAAATCTATGTTGAACTGATTCTTCAAATAAGTGTCGCTTTGTGACCCAAGTTTCCGTTAGGGCATTTGGGTACATCCCCACACTGAAATTCTATGTGAATTTTAGAAAAATTGGCGTTACCCGGTTCCCGATCTAAACCCATCCGAGTACCCGTCTTTGTCTCCGTGCAACTTAGACTGAAGTAATGTAATGAAGGGAGAGAGAAAAAAAGATAGAAGTGTTTGCCAGGTGATGAGATTCATGTCACTTGAATTTCATATCTATAAATTTATTGCACTTGTGGTCCTTGATTTTGATCTTCCAAGGTCACTTTTATACACCTTTAATGCATTAATGGGAGGGATTCTTCTATTATAGTCACATTCTTGATTTCAGCTTTTTCTTTAAAAAAAAGAAAATTGGTGTTGATGAGGCTTATATATATATTTGGTGGCTTTGATTTGGCTGCAGGAAACTTCATCAGCTCAATACATATTGCAGCAGTACACGGCGGCATCCGGAGGCCAGAGGCTACAAAATGTCATACACAATGCCTATGCAATGGGGAAGGTGAAGATGATGGCATCTGACATTGAGACAGCCACCAAGGTGATTAAGACCAAAAACTCTTCTAAAACGGCCGAGAGCGGCGGGTTTGTGCTCTGGCAAATGAACCCTGATATGTGGTACGTCGAACTCGCGCTGGGGACCAGCAAGGTTCACGCCGGTTGTAATGGGAGCCTTGTTTGGCGGCACACTCCTTGGCTTGGTGCTCATGCTGCTAAGGGCCCCGTCAGACCTCTACGCCGCGCTCTTCAGGTGACACACTTAATTCATACTTAAAGTGTGTGTTTGGAATCTGGAAAACAACTAGGGAAAGAATTTAGGGATGAAACTTTGATGGGAATTGAAGGATAGAATCAAACCAAACATTTCCTTTCCTTTTTCTAGTAGGGACTTGACCAAACTTTGATGGAAAACATCTGTTTTTGGGATTTCACTAGGCTTGTTCTAGTTGTTGTTGTTTGAACTCATTTCTTTTCCTTTTTTCTACTAGGGACTTGACCCAAGAACAACAGCCAACATGTTTGCGAATGCGAAATGCACGGGGGAGAAGAAGATCCACGGCGAGGACTGCTTTGTACTCAAACTCTGTGCGGACCCACACACGCTGAAGGGGAGGAGCGAGGGGCCCGCAGAGATAATCCGGCACGTCCTGTTCGGTTACTTCAGCCAGCGGACCGGTCTTCTGGTCCACCTGGAGGACTCCCACCTGACCCGAATCCAGACCAACGGCGGGGGGGACGCCGTGTACTGGGAGACCACAATCAACTCGTTCCTCGACGACTACAGACCGGTCGAGGGGATCATGATCGCCCACTCGGGCCGGTCGGTCGTGACGCTGTTCCGGTTCGGGGAGACCGCGATGAGCCACACCAAGACCAGAATGGAGGAGGTGTGGGCCATCGAGGAGGTGGCGTTCAATGTCCCCGGGCTGTCGGAAGAGTGCTTCATTCCGCCAGCGGAGCTGATTCTCAGCGGCGGCTCCTCCATCGGCGAAGCCTGCGAGTATTCTCAAGGCCAGAGAGTACAGCAAACCACCACCATGTCTGCTTCTGCTGCTGCTGCTGCTGGGTACAGAGCAAAAGTTGCTGCACTGAATGTTTAACCATGAATGAATGAATGATCAAGGAAGAAGGCAGGCCAGGAAGCAGCAGTCATCATCATCATCATCATCATAAGCTGATTTAAGGATTTTCTTTTCTTACCTCATCATTATCAATCTGTAAATATGTTTAATCTCTTTAGTTCTTCCCCAGCCTTTCTGTACTGTGATCTTGGCCTGGCTGTTGAGGTCAAAGCCTAACTATTAGTGTTGTGTTTCTTCTTGCATTGGTTTTTATAAAAAAAACTCAGTAGATTGCCTTTCTTACTGTTACTGTACATTCACTGGGAAAAATGTGTAATTTTTTTTACATATTTGGAAATTGTTACTGTAAATTTTACAGAGGGGGGTATTAGTTAAATCATTTTACAACCTGCAGTAAAGAGACATTAAATAAAGGAAATGTAGAAAGAGTGGAGTGAATGGCATAGGGAGTGAATGATAAATGGCAGAGGGATTGCATAAATCATGCGTTTGTTTTCACACCTATCCATCATAAGTAATCACTCTAAAACATGGAAAAGTGACAAAATAGGAGTTTAAAGTTTTTATTCTCTAAATAAGAATTTGCATTGTGATAATATTACACTATAGATGTGCATTTTACATAATTTACATGGTCGTGATTGATAATGTAAATGCATTTTAACTTTTATTTCAGAAATAAAAACATAGAACTCCTATTTTAGTACTTCCTCCGTCCCAAAATATTCACAACATTTGTTTTTTCAGCAGTCGCGGGAACTTTTGTTTATTTCTACGTTTTCATTGGTTATTTGATAAAATAAAATATTCTTGACACGTCTTATTTCGAAGAACTTTTCATGTAGTTTTTTGATATGTAAATTTTATTTTTTATTTCTATACCAATATGTAAATAAAATGAATTGAAAAAACTTGATATTTTGCCTCGATAATACAAATATGACAAATATTTAGGGACGGAGGGAGTACATTTTTAATGTTTTACTTCTATTCTAGCCTTTTTTTTATGTGTCATCAATCCATCATAAAGAAGCAGCATTTTAAAGTGGGATTTGAAGCCTGCAGATTCGTTGCCCCCAACTTTTACATGTAATCATCATAACTATTAGTGTTGTTGAATGATGGCAAATTGGCAATGGCCTCGCCCACGCTCGTGGGCGTTTCCTTCCTTTATTTTTTTTATCCCTCTAGGGTACGGTGTAGGTGAGGTAACTTCTTTTTTATCCCTCTAGGTGAAGAAGACCTGAAGTAACTTTGGTGATTGTGGTTGACTTAATTTGGGTCTTGACAACGGTGAAAAAAAAAGGAATCAAGTAGCTTGTGTTTGACTTGTTTCATGTATCCAAACAAATCATTTCATCTAATTCATTGCCTGAACTTGTATTAGAAAAGTAGAATAAATAA